CCAGAACATCCGTAGGGAGACCAAGGTGCTTGTTTATTAATTAGATTGTTTTATGGTTTTAATAACTGTTTTGATATTTGATGATGTACTGTTTTTAATATGATTAATACACTGAGCCCAGGTGGCGCAGTGTATTAAACCCCTGTGCCAGCAGGATTGAAAGTCACAGATTCGAATCCAGGGAGAGGCGGATGAGCTCCCTCTATCAGCTCCAGCTCCTCATACGGGGACATGAGAGAAGCCTCCCACAAGGATGATAAAAACATCAAATCATCCGGGCATCCCCTGGGCAACATCCTTACAGACAGCCAATTCTCTCACACCAGAAGCGACTTGCAGTTTCTCAAAGTCGCTCCTAATACGACAAAAAAAATTATGTTTAAAGTGTAGTTTTACTAGTGTAGTTGTAAGGCATTGATTTTTTGCCATTATCTATGTGTAAACTGCTTTGAGTCCCCCCTAGGGGTGAGAAAAGCAGTATATAAATACTGTAAATAAATAAGTAAATAAATTGTCCTCCCAACCCTGCTATACACCTGTGAAACGTGGACTGTCTACAGACATCATACACACTTCCTGGAACAATTCCATCAATGCTGCCTCTGAAAAATCCTGCAAATCTCTTGGGAAGACAGGCGGACAAATGTCAGCATGCTGCAAGAAGCAAAGACCACCAGCATTGAAGCGATAGTCCTCTGCCATCAACTCGGCTGGTCTGGCCATGTAGTCCAAATGCCTGATCACGTCTCCCAAAGCAGTTACTCTACTCCAAATGCAAGAATGGAAAATGGAATGTTGGTGGACAGGAAAAGAGATTGAAAGATGGGCTTCAAGCCAACCTTAAAAACTGTGGCATAGACACCAAGAACTGGGAAGCCCTGGCCCTTGAGCGCTCCAGCTGGAGGTCAGCTGTGACCAGCACTGCTGCAGAATTCAAATAGGCATGATTGGAGGGTGAAATGGAGAAATGTGGCAAGAGGAAGGTGTGTCAAGCTAACCCTGACCGGGAATGCCTTCCATCTGGAAACCAATGTCCTCACTGCGGGAGAACATGCGGATCAAGAATAGGGTTCCACAGCCACCTTTGGACCCACTGCTAAGACATCATATCTGGAAGACAATCATCCCCGAGCTATGAGGGATTGCTTAAGTAAGTAAAGTGTAATGCTTTCTCCCATTGCAGAGAACCTGCCCTTCTCAGGCCTGAGCTGCCCAAACAATGCTTCTCATACTGCATGGCCTCTACCTCTCTTTAGTTCTCTCCCTCCTTTCCCCTTTCTGTGCATATGTTTTGTGTGTGCATATATGTGTGTATATATTTGTGTGTGTGTATGTATGTGTATATATATATACGTGTGTGTGTGTGTGTTTGTGTATATATGTGGTTTTGCGCATGCGTTGTAATGTATTTTTGGGGTTTTTTTTGCTTTTTAAATCTCTTCTGCTGTATTTTTCTGTGTTTTTATGAGTGATAGTCATTGTTGGCCTGATAGGTGTCTTCTGTCCAAATGTGGTGTCAGTTGGTCCAGTGGTTTTTGGGTTATGTTAATCCCACAAATGAGCATAGTTTTCCAGTCCTTTTTTTAGGCTGAAAAAATCTCCCCCGGCTTATACTCGAGTCAATATTATTTATTATTTTACTTCGTTGTTGTTGTTATTATTATTATTATTATTACATTTATTATTTTATTGTTGTTATTATTACATTTATTATTTTACTCTATTATTGTTATTGTTACATTTATTATTTTACTCTATTTATTATTATTACATTTATTATTTACTCTATTATTAGTATTAATTATTAATTACTCTATTATATTGTCGAAGGCTTTCATGGCTGGAATCACTAGGTTCTTGTGGGTTTTTTCGGGCTATAGGGCCATGTTCTAGAGGCATTTCTCCTGACGTTTCGCCTGCATCTATGGCAAGCATCCTCAGATTTAGTGAGCCTCTGAGTGACCTCACTACCTCTGAGGATGCTTGCCATAGATGCAGGTGAAACGTCAGGAGAGAATGCCTCTACATTATTATTATTATTATTATTTTACTCTGTTATTATTGGAGGACATGTAAGCATATTTACATTGAAGAAGGTTAGAATAATGGTTTAATCAGAGTTGGACAGTCTTATCTTGAATTACAGTTTTATGTAAATATTCAAAAATATTTGAATATTTGAATGCAAGCTGAGATCCACAACCATATTATTATTATTATTATTATTATTAGTAGTAGTAGTAGTAGTAGCAGTGGTGGTGGTAAAGGTAAAGGTTTTCCCCTGACATTAAGTCTAGTAGTGTCTGACTTTTTGTGTTGGTTCTGATCTCCATATCTAAGCTGAAGAGCCAGTGTTATCCGTAGATACCTTCAAGGTTATACATTTAACCTACTTCGGCTTATACATTTGACCTACTGATGCCTAAATTAATATAATTTTATTGGTATTTATTTTTATTTTGAAATTTACCAGGAGCTGCTGCATTTCCCACCCTCGGCTTATATTTGAGTCGATCCATTTTCCCATATATTTTTTTTGTGGTAAAATTAGGTGCCTCGGCTTATATTCGGGTCGGCTTATACTCGAGTATATATGGTATGTTAATTCCACAAACGAACATTACATTTTTATTTATATAGAGCAAAAGTAATAATGAGCAATAAAAAAAAGAAAAATCATTTTTGAACTACTAGGTTGGCAGGAGCTGGGCTAACAGCGGGAGCTCATCTGCTGCCCATATGTGAACTGCCGACCTTTCAGACAGTAAGTCCAGCAGCTCAGCGATTTAACCCACTGCACCACCAGGAGGCTTTATGAGTGTCTTTGGCACCCAAAGGGGCATTGCTGAGGAGGTGGGGGTCCCGTAACACATCTGCCCTCCCAGGCTTCATCCTCGCCGTTGGAGGGCTCTTCAAGTGGGGCACCAGTAGAAAAGGAAAGGGCCCCTCTTTGGTAACCTTTGCTGTGTTTGAGCCTCCAGAGGAGGAGGAGAAGGTGCCAGCTGCTGCCTCCTCCTCCTCCCAAAGAAAGAAACAAACAAGGCGCCCCACCCATGCTGCCCCTTGGCACCTTTGGCGCCCCACCCACTGACTTATGTAAGGCTTGGCTGCCCGGGCATTCCCTCCAGGGCTCGGCACGGCATCGGCCCCTGCCTCCTGGCATCCACAAGGCGCCTGTGCCAGGAATGTGGGCAACATGTGCAGTGGCATGAAGAGAGGTGGGACAGAAGGCGACCGAGTGGGCGTGGGAGGAGCGGCTCCACAGTCACGTGTGGCTCCTGGCTGTTTGGGAAGGCATGTGCCCCGCTGGTGCGAGGGAATGCGGCGCAGGAAAGCGGGGAGCTGCCTGTGTGCCCAACGTGCACAGACACGTGCCCCTTCTTCTCTTTTCTTTGGAGGCAGCACACCACCAAGAGTGGAACACCTGACGCAGAGTGTACAGCACTCCTTACTCCATCATCTCCCAAACCAGTAGCTGGCATTATGTCCTGGCACCCCTTGGAGCCCCCCACAAACTCCCCAAAGGGGAGAGGAGAGGCCCTAAAGCAATATTGCCTCTGGAGGAGTACTTGGAACTCCTCCCTCCAGGTGTTTTGGATCTCAACTCCCACAATTCCTAACATCCTCAGGCCCCTTCCTTTTCTGGTAAAGTTTGGAGGAAGACAAACCACAGATGATGGGATTTGCAGTACTTTCAATTGCTTTGACTCCCATGGACCACTGCGACCCCCACAATGACAGATCAGGACCAAACTTGGCACACAGAGCCCCCATGACCCATTTCACATCCAGGTGCAGTTTGGAGGAGGATGGACTATGGCTGATGGGACTTGCAGTACCTTCAGCCATGAGACCACTGTGACCCCCAAGAATGACAGACCTGGAGCAAACTTGGCACACATAACCGCCATGATTCATTTTACGTCCTGGTGTGGTTTGGGGGAGGATGGACTATGGCTGATGGGACTTGCAGTGCCTTCACTCACTTCCTGAGACTACTGCAACCCCTAAGAATGACAGACCTGGACCAAACTTGGCACAAAGTACTGCAAATCCCATAATCCATGGTCCATCCTCCCCAAACTGACCAGGACGTAAAGTGAGTCATGGTGGTTATCACCATGACTCACTTTACGTCCTGGTGCAGTTTGGGGGAGGGTGGACCATGGATTATGGGATTTGCAGTATTTTCTATCGCTTCAACTCCCACAGACCACTGTGACTCCCACCATTGATGGATCAGGACCAAACTTGACACACAGACCCTCCATGATCCACCTCATGCCCTGGTGAAGTTTTGGGGGAGGGGACCATGGACAGTGGGATTTGCAGTACCTTAACCTGATTTGACTTCCAAAGACCACTGCAACCCCCACAAATCATGGACCTGGACCAAACATGGCACACAGACACCCCATGACCCACCTCAAGCCTTGGTGAAGTTTGGGAGAGGATGGGTAACGGATGATGGGATTTGCAGTACCTTAACCTGATTTGGCTTCCAAAGACCACTGCAACCCCCACAAATCATGGACCTGAACCAAACTTGGCACACAGACACCCCATGACTCACCTCATGCCCTGGTGAAGTCTGGGGAGGGAGGGACCACGGACAGTGGGATTTGCAGTACCTTAACCTGATATGGCTTCCAAAGACCACTGCAACCCTAAAAAATCATGGACCTGGACCAAACTTGGCACACAGACACCCCATGACCCACCTCATGCCCTGGTGAAGTTTGGGACAGGGTAGGCCACAGATGATGGGATTTGCAGTACCTTCATCTGATTTGGTTCCCAAAGACCGCTGCGACCACCCCAAATCACGGACCTGGACCAAACTTGGCACAGAGATGCCCCATGACCCACTTTACGTCCTGGGAAAGGGTCTGAGGCTGGAAGGCGGGCCCAAGTTGGCCCATTCAATGGAAATCCATCATAACACATTCAGCTCAGCAACAACCCCTGACTTGGATCTGGAGCAAAGGGATGCGGCTCACCTGTGGAAGAAGAGCAGGATGGAGAGGAGGGTCTGGTCCACGCCGCGGCCGCACAGGCCCTGGTCGCGGAGGAATCCCGGGTCTCGCACCACGGGCTCCAGCGAGCCCTGCCTGGCCAGCATCCGGCCCAGCTTGGCGGCGTCCAGGTTCCGTCGGCAGAAGGGTCGTTGGCGCAGGAGGCGCAGGAAGGCGGTGCTGGGCGAGGGAGGGGGGCCCCGGCGACAACGCCCGCCCTCGGCCTCCAGCGCCTGGCAGCAGCCGCAACGCTCCAGGCCCACCGCCGCCGCTTCCTCCTCCTCCTCCTCCTCGGAAGAAGAGCAGGACCAGGAGGAGGTGGACGAGCAGCGCCACGAAGAAGACGAAGACATCCCGGCTGCCTCCTCCTTCGGTGCCTACCTGAGCCGCACTCCGGCCCCGCTCCCTCGGCTCTCCCTCGGCCCTGCACTCCTCGCCCCGCCCACTCCCTCCCGCCACGCCTCCCGCCTCGAAGCCACGCCCCCTGCCTCGAAACCACGCCCTTCTCACCTCCGGAAAGGGGAAGAGGAGATGCCAGAAACATTCCCCTGTTTTCTTTCTCTTTTCGTATCAGGAGCGATTTGAGAAACAGCAAGTCGCTTCTGGTGTGAGAGAAGTTTGATGTTTTACTATCCCCCTCAACGGTTTTTGTACCCAGAGTATATTTCCCCACCTGTATGCAGGGGCGGCTCGTCCATTACGCGAAGTAAGCAGTCGCAGAACACTTTTTTTTTGCCAGGGGCGCAGAGGCGCCTCTGTAAATGCCCCTCGACCAGAGGCGGCCCTAGATAATTTTCAACGGTAAACAAACAGTATTTTGGCCCCCCCCCCAACCCAAACCAATCATTGATATATATTTTCTGTTTGTCGTGGGAGTTCTGTGTGCCATATTTGGTTCAATTCCATCATTGGTGGAGTTCAGAATGCTCTTTGATTGTAGGTGAACTATATATCCCAGTAACTACACTTGCCGCACTTGCTCCCTTGCCTGGCCCGCTTTGGGTCCGGAGACGTGCCTGAAGACCCCGGCATTTGCACCAAAAGTCACCTCTTCTCCTGACTTTCTCCTCAGCCATTGGGACCAAGAGAGAGAGAGAGAGGGAGATGCCCACCTTTCCTGAAGGTAGGCGCAAAAACAAAGGAGGGAGCGGAGGTGGGAGATACCTCCAGCCGGAGTGGCTCTCTCTCTCTCTCTCTCTCTCTCTCTCTCTCTCTCTTGGTCCCAATGGCTGAAGAGAAAGTCAGGAGAAGAGGCGACTTTTGGTGCGCACACGGGGTCTTCAGACACGCCTCCGGACCCAAAGCGGGCCAGGCGTGGTGGCTCCGCCCCTTGGCCCACCCGCGGATTGGGGAGAGGAGAGGCAGGTGGAGTGCCGGGGGATCAGGAAAGGGAGCCGGTCATGGGGAAGGGATCGAACGCAGAGAACAATTGAGCCCATCTCTGCTCGCGCACCCGATGGCCAGGTGGAGCAGGAACGAGCGGGACGAGGTGAGCTCAAAGGCCCAGCCCCTTTGGGAAGAGGATTGCCTGGCAGCGAGGCAAGAAAGCCGAGGCTCCCCCTGGACTGCTAGGGCTGTTGTGAGCTGAGGGGGCGCTCCTCAAGTAGCGGTCGAGGGGCATTTACAGAGGCGCCTCTGCGCCCCTGGCAAAAAAAAGGGTTCTGCGACTGCTTACTTTGCGTAATGGACGAGTCGCCCCTGATCCCCCTCAATGGTTTTTGTACCCAGAGTATATTTCCCCACCTGTATGCAGGGGAGGCTCGTCCATTATGCAAAGTAAGCGGTCGCAGAACACTTTTTTTTGCCAGGGGCGCAGAGGCGCCTCTGTAAATGCCCCTCAACTGCCACTTGAGGAGTGCCCCCTCAGAAGCAGGAAAACCTCATTTAAAGCACCCCCTGCAGATGGCCAGCTTGTTAATATCTCTCTTCAATTGTGGTGCCCAGAATTGGACACAATAGAATCATATAATCATAGAGTTGGAAGAGACCTCATGGGCCATCCAGTCCAACCCCCTGCCAAGAAGCAGGAATATTACATTCAAATCACCCCTGACAGATGGCCATCCAGCCTCTGTTTAAAAGCTTCCACACACTCGGGGGCAGAGAGTTCCACTCCTGAACGGCTCTCACAGTCAGGAAGTTCTTCCTCATGTTCAGATGGAATCTCTTTTCTTGTAGTTTGAAGCCATTGTTCCGTGTCCTAGTCTCCAGGGAAGCAGAAAACAAGTTCGCACCCTCCTCCCTATGACTTCCTCTCACATATTTATACATGGCTCTCATCATATCTCCTCTCTGCCTTCTCTTCTGAAGGCTAAACATGCCCAGCTCTTTAAGCCACTCCTCATAGGGCTTGTTCTCCATACCCTTGATCATTTGAGTCGCCCTCTTCTGGACACATTTATTTATTTATTTACAGCATTTATATTCCGCCCTTCTCACCCTGCAGGGGACTCAGGGCGGATTACAGTGTACACATATATGGCAAACATTCATTGCCAATTTTGACATACAACATATAGAGACATACACAGAAGCTATTTAACTTTTTCTGGCCGCCAGGGGAGCTGTCGCTTTCATCGTCCATCTGCGACGCTGATGAAGTACTTCTGCATTCCCCGCATGCTTTTTTGCTGAAGTGCTTTCCTGGAGTTTTTTCTATGGCCTCATAAATTAGTTAATTTAGCAGCTGTCCAAACTGGAGTCATGAAATTGCATAGAATCATAGAATCAAAGAGTTGGAAGAGACCTCATGGGCCATCCAGTCCAACCCCCTGCCAAGAAGCAGGAATATTGCATTCAAATGACCCCTGACAGATGGCCATCCAGCCTCTGTTTAAAAGCTTCCAAAGAAGGAGCCTCCACCACACTCCGGGGCAGAGAGTTCCACTGCTGAACGGCTCTCACAGTCAGGAAGTTCTTCCTCATGTTCAGATGGAATCTCCTCTCTGTAGTTTGAAGCCATTGTTCCGCATCCTTGTCTCCAAGAAAGCAGAAATCAAGCTTGCTCCCTCCTCCCTATGACTTCCTCTCATGTATTTATAATGGCCCTCATCATGTCTCCTGTCAGCCTTCTCTTCTTCAGGCTAAACATGCCCAGCTCTTTAAGCTGCTCCTCATAGGGCTTGTTCTCCAGACCCTGGATCATTTTAGTCACCCTCCTCTGGACACATTCCAGCTTGTCAATATCTCTCTTCAATTGTGGTGCCCAGAATTGGACACAATATTCCAGGTGTGGTCTAACCAAGGCAGAATAGAGGGGTAGCATGACTTCCCTAGATCTAGACACTATACTCCTATTGATGCAATTCAAAATCCCATTGGCTTTTTTGCTGGCTCCAAGATCTCACCGGATTCGATTCTCCGACCTGTCAGTCTTCAGTCCTGCCCACACAAGGGTTTAACCCACTGCACCACCAGGAGCTCCCCCTATTTCCTGAGTATTGTTCTTTATTTACTATCCTGATTTTAGAGTTTTTTAAAAAAAATACTGGTAGCCAGGTGTAGCCACAAGCATGTGAACCATTTTAACAGAAAGGAGGAAAACATGAAAATGAACAAAATCCGGCCCCCGGTATTTATTTTTTTTAAAAAAACTCTAAAATCAGGACAGTAAATAAATAGAAACACTAAAAAAAAAACAGCAGAATTCCAGTCAAGAATCAATCAGGGCCAGCTTAAACAGGAAGCAGACATGCTTTGAATCTGCAAGGCCATTCAGTGCTAATCAAGGTGGCCAACTGCTTGAGACAAGTTGTGATTGTTGCAGTTCGCCGCCTTGTTGAGCATTGAATGGCCTTGTAGCTCCAAAGTCTGAATGCTAGTTGCCTGGGGGAATCCTTTTTTGGGAGGTGAAGCCAAGCTTTGAAGCTGTAAGGCCATTCAATGCTAATCAAGTTGGCCAATTGCAACATTCACGTTCGCCCCCAACAGACAAGAGTTCTTTCTCCCCACCCTGGACATTATTCCACAGGTATATAAACCCCATTTTCTTAGTTTCCAACTGATCTCACAACCTCTGAGGATGCCTGCCATAGATGTGGGCGAAACGTCAGGAGAGAATGCTTCTGGAACATGGCCATAAAGCCCGAAAAACTCACAGCAACCCAATGCCTTAAACGACCTGGATCCACACAGGATCCCTCCCCAAGACACGCGGGGAAGTGTATGTGCACGTGTGTGTGAAGCAGCAGCGCCCCCTGCTGGCTCTACTTCTGCTGGAGACCAGTTTGGGAGCGGAGACCATGGCCCCTTCTACACTGCCATCAAATCATCCAGGGGTCCCCTGGGCAACGTCCTTGCAGACGGCCAATTCTCTCACAACAGAAGCGACTTGCAGTTTCTCAAGTTGCTCCTGACATGACCAAAAAAAAAAATCCAGGTTATCAAAGCAGGGTAGTGTTCAATGTGTTGTCGAAGGCTTTAATGGCTTGAATCACTGGGTTGCTGTGAGTTTTCCAAGCTGTATGACCATGTTCCAGAAGCATTCTCTCCTGACACACATCTATGGCAGACATCCTCAGAGGTTGTAAGATTTGTTGGAAACTAGACAAGTGAGGTTTATATATCTGTGGAATGTCCAGGGTGGGAGAAAGAACTCTTGTCTGTTTGAGGCAGGTGTGAATTAGCATTGAATAGCCTTGCAGCCTCAAAGCCTGGCTGCTCCCTCCCTGGGGGAGTCCTTTGTTGGGAGGTGTTAGCTGGCTCTGATTGTTTCCTGTCAGGAATTTCCCCATTTTCTGACCCTTGCCTCAAGCAGACAAGATGTCTTTCTCCCACCCTGGACATTATTCCACAGATATATAAACCTCACCTCCCTCATTTCCAACAGACCTCCCAACCTCTGAGGGTGCCTGCCATAGATGTGGGTGAAACGTCAGGAGAGAATGCTTCCAGAACATACCCATACAGCCTGGAAAACTCACTGCAACACAGGGTACAGTTCCATTATCCTCGTGGAAGCCACTAAGGGGCAATAGAGAAAGAAGGATAGTCCATTTTATTGGGAGGGGGGAGTTGAAGGAGGAAAACAATTTTTCCCATTTTCACTAGTTATTCCCCCTACCCTTTCCCACATCATAAACTAAGGTTATTTCCACCACAGGGACATGGATGGGGGGAATAACAGAGAACAGGGAGAAATTGTTTTCTTGGTTCAACCCACCCTCTGCCCCCATAAAATGGACTATCCTCCTCTCTCTAGTGCCCCTGAGGCCCCTGCGTGGATAATAGAACAGTACCTAAACCAGATAATCGACATTATAAACAAAGATGATGATGATGATGATGATGGTTATCTGCTTTGAACTGGATTATGTACATCTAAAGGCAAAGATTTCCCCTTGACATTAAGTCTAGTTGTGTCAGACTCTGGGGGGTGGTGCTCATCTCCATTTCTAAGCCGAAGAACCGGTGTTGTCCATAGACACCTCCAAGGTCATGTGGCCGGCATGACTGTATGGAGTGCCATTACCTTCCTGCAGAAACGGTATTTATTGAATTACTCACATTTGCATGTTTTCAAACTGCTAGGTTGGCAGAAGCTGGGGCTAATTGCAGGAGCTCATCCCGCTCCTCGGATTCAAACCACTGACTTTTCAGTAAGCAAGTTCAGCAGCTCAGCGGTTTAACCTGCTGCGTCACCAGGGGGCCCTTACATACCTTTACACTGCCATATAATCCAGTTCAAAGCAGATAATCTGGATTGTTCATGGCACAGCCTAGAGGGCACCTTCTGTGGTGGAAGTACCACAGACCCTTTAACTCTGGACCCTTGAAAGGAATGCTGCCCATTTCTCCCAAATGCAGGGTCCCTGTAAGGTGGGGGGTGGGCAGCCTATTTCAATGCACACACACACACAGGGGATCGTCCACCGAGGCCTTTATTGGGGTTTCCAAAGGCATAGCCAAAGGCAACTCGTCGGTCAAAAGCTTTTGAAGAGGAGTTCTTCACCATGTCATCCAGGTGAGAGACGAGTAATGTCTTGATCTGCCCAGGAAGTATGCAGGCTCCCCTAGGTCAAGGGCCTTACAGAGGGAGGGCCTCTTCCTTCTGATTGGCCTGCAATCCAATGACAAGAGTCTTAGGTGAGAGAGAAACCCTTTTACCAACGGCTGGTGTTTTGGACAAAAAATCAATTGCACTACATTGGAAAGAACACTGTCAGGAAGCTCCAATGTGGCTGAAGAGGTTCTCTCACAAATCCCGCAACAACAAACCAGGGATGAGCTTGCAGCACTGCCTAGTTTGGAAGAAGTCAGCAATGCCATCAGCCAACAAAAAAATAACAAAGCCAGCGGACCTGATGGGATCCCTGCTGAAATCTTTAAAGAGGGAGGACCTGAGCTGACACAACAACTCCACCAGCTCAAGCCAACTCCGACCGGCACTGCCTTCCACCTGGAAGCCAATGCCCTCACTGTGGGAGATAATGCAGATCAAGAATAGGGCTCCACAGTCACCTACGGGCCCACCCTGGAGGATTATCTACACGGACAATGAGGGATCGCATAAGTAAGGTGTTTTGGGACAGGCTCCCATCACAGCCTGGGAAGAAGGGACTTTAGGAAATAACAATTTCAAACCAGGAACATTTCCCCCCAGATTTTGTTACATAGTGTTATTTGCAGCACTGGGGCCGTCCAGTCACAAAAACATACCTTCTCCTTTCGGGAACTCCGTTCCTCTTTCATCCGCTTATGCATGTCCATGCAGTCTGTAAAATGGACAGGAAAAGAGGTCGCAACCTGGGTGATAGGATTGTCTTCTGCCTCCAACCTTTATTGGGCTCCCCCTGCCCAATCCTTCCCACTCCCCACCCCAAAAGGGTCACTGTCATCCAGCAAATAGGCTACTTACGGCCCACAAAGATGACTATGGTTGGAAAGAGGCAGATCCCGGCTGCCCCGACAACAATCGCTGTTACGTCAACAGGTTCGGCACGTGCTTCCACTAAAATTATTTTTTAAAGAGAGAGATGTTTTAATTTATATTTCTTTTCTAAATGCAAACACAACGGAAACATCCAAGCTGCAAAAAAGATTTGTAGAAAGGATGAGCTAAGGTACCACAACTCTCAGCTGCCTCAGTCTCAATCTGGTTTCAGGCCTGGCTATGGGACAGCCCTGGCTTCCAATCTGCTTCTGGGCTAAATACAAAGCCCTTGAGCGCTCCAGCTGGAGGTCATCTGTGACCAGCAGTGCTGTAGAATTTGAAGAGCGTGAATGGAGGGTGAAAGAGAGAAACGTGCCAAGAGGAAGGCGTGTAATGCCAACCCCGACATAGAACTGAGGCTTCCAGGATGTAATTCTAGGATAGCTCCAATATGCCCATTTTCTACCCCCTCCCTGCTGCTACTGAAAAAGTGGTACCTATTGATCTACTCAGATTTGCATGTTTTCGAACTGCTAGGTTGGCAGAAGTTGTCGTTTGGGAGACAGGTAAAAGCGGGGTGGGGGGTGGGGGGGGGGCTGCTCTCACCTTGCAGGTGGTAAATGTGCTTGATCAGCAGACCAGAGATCCCAGCCACAAGGATCACCCCTCCAGGAGTGGTGAGGTCCAGCATTCGTTGCGCTGGGATGGAAAAGAGGAAAAATGGGAAGATGGCTAAGGGCAGAGATGCGCTGGGCTGGCTTCCTGGGTCAGCATCTTCCTTCCTTTGGCCCCTCTTCTCATCAGCTAAAGCCTACCTGCCTGGTCGGTGACTTGATTAAGCACGTCCAGCTGGAAGGTGATGGTCACCACCACCAGTGCCGTGACCAGGATCACGTGGAGGAGGAGAATGGTGGGGAAGATGAAGATAGCAGGGAATCCTTGGAAGAGGAGGAAAAGGGGGTGCAGTTAAGTGAAAATAGCTTCCTCTCAGTACTGCGCCACTGCCGGTGGCATAGTGGGTTAAACCCTTGTGCCAGCAGGACTGAAAACCGACAAGTTCCAGGTTCGAATCCGGGGCGAGCACAGATGAGCTCCCTCTGTCAGCTCCAGCTCCTCATGCGGGGATATGAGAGAAGCCTCCCACAAAGGATGGTAAAACATCAAACCACCCTGGTGTCCCCTGGGCAACGTCCTTGCAGACGGCCAATTCTCTCACACTAGAAGCAACTTGCAGTTTCTCGAGCACAATATCTGTGGGTTTTGACTCTTTGGGTGGCTGTGGTGCCAGGTCAATGCAAAGAGAGCCCTCTGTAAAGCACCTGCTTGCCCCCCCCCCCCCCCCCCCCCCCCGTCCCTCGGTGACTCCCTTTGAGCTCTGTGCCCACCCCCCACTCCCCGGCCCAACTCATTCAGGAGCCCCTCTGACCTTGGTCATAGCTCCAAAGGATGAGGGCCACCAGGGCCAGAGCAGAAGCCAAACAGGCCAATCCGTTTGCGTAGATGCTGAGCCACTTCCACAACTTCCCTCCTAGAGGCAGAGAGGACTGGTGAGGTGAAGCCACAGGGAGAAAGGGTTTCCTGGATCAGGGCCGAACCTCAGGGAAGGGAGCACTCACTGATTCGAAGCTTTTCGGGCTGCCAGAAAGGGAGCACCACTCCCCACCCGCAGAAGGCCACAAACACCAGCGCAGAGGCAGAGACCTGGAAAGATGTCTCCAACGCCATCGAAATGCCTGGGGAGAGAAGCCATCACAAAACCACTACTAAGGACTCAAAGGAAGACACACAGCAAAGTGGATCCCAAGTGGTTTGAGCATCCCAAAGTGGGTGCCCTGAGTCCTGCCAGAACATGCAGACAACCCTTAAAGGGGTTCTTGTGGGAGAGGCTTTGAATCTGACCCTCTCCCACTGGTTTGTGTTTGTCTGTGCTGAAAGTATATCAGGGGAAGCCAAACTTCCCTTGTGTTTTCCCCCTAATGCTCCCAGCAAAGGGTCAAGGGACATGTTGTCACTTACAGCGAGGCCCTGGCGGGGGTCCTGACGACTGTGGGTGGGTGCTGTCCTCCTCCACAGAAGGCCTCAAGCTGCCCATCTTCCCCCTCGGAGAGCTCTGCAGTGTCGCCGTCCAGGAGGGCCTCTCTTGCCTCTTCTTTGGGGAAGGTGGAAGGGCCACAGTCGGGGCCCAGCTTCCATCAGGACCGCTGTCTCCTCCAATGATCATCATCCATAGCAATAGTGCTAGTTGAGGGAAAGGAAACAGGGAGGAACCATCAAGGGGGGGGGGTGACACCTTCAGCTCCCCCTCCCCATAGCAACATAGCCTGGATCTACATCTATATATATAAATCTGTTAGGTTGGTTCAACGGGACAGCAAAACTCCACAATCCCCCAACGAAACTTAACCAAAATTCCCATGCCCATAACACAACCCACAAGGTACAAACATATCTACTCAAAATGAAAAACAACACAACAACACACTCACAAAACGGCAAAACAGCAAAACTAAAAAAAACCCAACGAAACTTAACCAAAATTCCCATGCCCATAACACAACCCACAAGGTACAAACATATCTACTCAAAATGAAAAACAACACAACAACACACTCACAAAAGGCAAAACAACAAAACTCAAAAAAACCCCAACGAAACGTAACAAAAATTCCCATGCCCTAACACAACCCACAAGGTACAAACATATCTACTCAAAATGAAAAACAACACAACAACACACTCACAAAACGGCAAAACAACAAAACTCAAAAAAACCCCAACGAAACTTAACAAAAATTCCCATGCCCATAACACAATGCACAAGGTACAAACATATCTGCTCAAAATGAAAAGCAACAACAACACACTCACAAAACGGCAAAACAACAAAACTCAAAAAAAACCCAACGAAACTTAACCAGGGGGAAGGAAGGAAGGAGAGAAGGAAAGAAATGAAGGAAGGAAAGAGGGAGTGAAGGAAGAGGGAAGATGTAGAGAAAGAGGGAGGGAAGGAAAGAAGGAAAGAGAGAAGGAAGAAAAGAGACCAGAAGAGAAAGAAAAAGGGGGAAGGAAGGAAGGAGAGAAGAAAAAAGGGAATGAAGGAAGGAAAGAGGGAGTGAAGGAAGGGGGAAGATGTAGAGAAAGAGGGAGGGAAGGAAAGAAGGAAAGAGAGAAGGAAGAAAAGAGACCAGAAGAGAAAGAAAAAGGGGGAAGGAAGGAAAGAAGGAGAGAAGGAAAGAAAAAAGGGAATGAAAGAAGGAAAGAGGGAGTGAAGGAAGGGGGAAGATGTAGAGAAAGAGGGAGGGAAGGAAAGAAGGAAAGAGAGAAGGAAGAAAAGAGACCAGAAGAGAAAGAAAAAGGGGGAAGGAAGGAAAGAGATAGAGAAGGAAGAGGAGAAGGAAAGATGGGAGGAAGGAAGGAAGGAGGGAAAGAAGGAGAGAAAGAGGGAAGGTTGGCCACAGCAACACGTGGCGGGTAAAGGTTGTTATTTCTATTATTATTATTATGATGCTATTATTCCTATGAGACCCTTTTAGGGGGAATGGGAGAGGTGTCAGGTCCCAGAGGCAATGCATTGCATTATGGTTATTGTTATGATGGTGGTGAAATAAAAGGAAATAAAAATGAAAGAAGGAAGCAAACAGGGAGGGAAGAAAGGCAAAGGAAGAAAGGGGAGGGAATGAAGGAAAGAGAGAAAGAAAGAAAGAAAGAAAGAAAGAAAGAAAGAGGTAGAGAAGGAAGAAAGGAGAGAAAGGGGGAGGAAAAGGGGGAAGGAATAGGCAGGTACCTCTCTTTCATAATAGTCCAGATATCTACCTCAACTTTGATAAGTTTTACTATAGGCCACAGCAACGCGTGGCAGGGCACAGCTAGTTGCCATATAAAATCAAGGTTATTTAAGGAGGCCCCGGTGACGTAGCAGGTTAAACTGCTGAGCTGCTGAACTTGCCGACTGAAAGGTGAGTTGTTTGAATCCGGGGAGTGGGATGAGCTCCCGATGTTAGCCCCAGCTTCTGCCAACCTAGCAGTTTGAAAGCATGCAAATGTGAGTAGATCAATAGGTACCGCTCTGACGGGAAGGTAGCAGCCCTCATTACATCATTATTCATATATGTATGTTAAACTGAGATGACCCTGTTCCTGTCAAATTGCTCTGTTTCCATGATATCTCCTGTGCTAGTTATATTCCTGTCCACCTTATTGAACTACTTGCCTTTTAATCATTTTGTATGTTGGCTTCCTTCCCCCCTCCAAAATTTGGGTTGCTGTTGCTTGATGCTTGTTTATTACTGTTATGCTGTTTTGTGTCTTTTTAATTTGTAACTTGCTGTTGTTTTACTTTTAATTGTATGTTGCCTGGGCTTGGCCCCATGTAAGCCACCCCTTGGGGAGATGGAGGCGGGGTAGAAAAATAAACTTCTTCTTCTTCTTCTTCTTCTCCTCCTCCTCCTCCTCCTCCTCCTCCTCCTCCTCCTCCTCAATGCAGTCATACTGGCCACATGACCTTGGAGGTGTCTATGGACAACACCAGCTCTTTGGCTTAGAAATGGAGATGAGCACCACCTCTAGAGTTGAAAACAACTAGACTTAATGTCAAGGGGAGAGCTTTATCCTCATTTATCAGCTTTAAACTGGGTTATATGGCAGTGTAGACTCATATTCAAATCAGATAATGTGGATTATCTGCTTTGACCACACCTGGAATATTGTGTCCAATTCTGGGCACCACAATTGAAGAGAGATATTGACAAGCTGGAAAGTGTCCAGAGGAGGGCGACTAAAATAATTAAGGGTCTGGAGAACAAGCCCTATGAGGAGCGGCTTTAAGAACTGGACATGTTTAGCTTGAAGAAGAGAAGGCTGACAGGAGAAGGCTGATAGCCATGTATAAATACATGAGAGGAAGTCATAGGGAGGAGGGAGCAAGCTCGTTTTCTGCTGCCCTGGAGACCAGGATGCAGAACAATGGCCTCAAACTACAAGAAAGGAGATTCCATCTGAACATGAGGAAGAACTTCCTGACTCTGAGAGCCGTTCAGCAGTGGAACCTTCTGCCCCGGAGTGTGGTGGAGGCTCCTTCTTTGGAAGCTTTTAAACAGAGGCTGGATGGCCATCTGTCAGGGGTGCTTTGAATACAATATTCGTGCTTCTTGGCAGGGGGTTGGACTGGATGGCCCATGAGGTCTCTTCCAACTCTAGGATTCTATGATTCTGTGATTATATGGCCGTGTAGATCCAGCCATAGGGATCCAGTGGAGTGCTTAGGCTTTCAGAGAGGTTATGTGGATCTCTGCGGGGGTTCATTTCACCCAATTATACCCTGTCTGCCATCTCTAAAACATCCCCCTGCCCCCACCAGCCAGCCAAGAGCATAATGCTGGCATTTGCCAAGGCAAGTGAGAAGGTACACAGGGCAGAGTCCGCAGCACATCTGTTACCGGAGAAGGAAAAGGTTACCTGGAGCCAGGAGAGCACCCTTCACCATCTTCACTTGGAAGGAGCCCCTGTGCAGAGGAGAAGTTGCTTTGAGTCTCCTTGGGGAGAGAAAAAGTGGGATAATATTAATAATAATAATAATAATCATCATCATCATCATCATCATCTATATAAATAAAAATGTAATGTTCGTTTGTGGGATTAACATAACTAAAAAACCGCTGGACCAATTGCTGCCAAATTTGGCCACAAGACACCTACTAACCCAAGGAGTGACCATCACTAAAAAAAAAATTGAGTTTGTCATTTGGGAGTTGTAGTTACAATCAAAGAGCATTCTGAACCCCACCAACGATAGAATTGGGGCAGACTTCCCACACAGAGCCCTATGACCAATAGAAAATACTTAAGGCCATCCAATCCAACTCCTTTCACCAGGGCAAGAAAACGTAATCAAGTACTGTTTACTCGCAAGCATAAAGAAATTCCATATATTAGAAACCAACACTTTCGCATTACTTTATTTTCCAGATCATCAGACTGGGCCACAGGAACGTGTGGCAAGGGATTATTAGTAATGATAAGGGATTATTATTAATAATAATAATAATAATAATAATAAATAATTATTATTAATTTATTATAAATAATAATAATAATAATAATAATAATAATAATAATAATAATAATGGCCCAGTTGAGGGACAGGCTGGCTCAACACAGAGCTCCCTGGGGCTCAACTCCCGCACCCAACATTTTGAGTTAGTGCGAGATCCTCTCCTCTGTTGTTCTGTGTCCTGCTTCCTGGCCTGTGGATCTGTTACTAGATTGCCAGGGATGCTGGATGTCTGCCAGTGGCCAAAATGGGTGGTCTTGACCTTGGGTAGAAGCTGCTCCCACCTCCCCATTGCAAAGCAGCCCCTCTTCTGAGATTTCTTGCTAACCTCACGTCCCAGAAGCAGCTGAGATGGGAGAAGAGAGCAGTGTTGAAGTGGCTTCTTGTGCAAGGTGAGATGTCAGGGAAGCCCTCCTTACCTGTCTTCCTGGAGCCGGCAGGTCAAGGGCAGCGTCCCTCCTCTTCCTCCTCTTCCTCCTCCTCCTCCTTTCCACAGGGCAGCCTTGTACAAAGTGGTTCCTTTCCTGGAAAGGCAGCAGCGTGGAGGCGATGGGAAAGGCTGAGAATGGAGCAGTATATGCTGGGAAAGGGCTGCTTAAGGCTTGGTGGTCCGTGCAAGAAATCACAGGAGGAGAAGGATTGAAAGCATGACAACCGCCCTCCCGCACCTTTCTGCCCAAGCCACTCTTCCCCAAAGGAAAGCCTTTCTTTCCCTCCACAGAGATCCTACTCTGGGTTGGATTTGTGCATTTCCTGTATATCCAGCAGAAAGTCTAAATAGATGACATATGCAAATACTGATTAAACACACCACCCCCAGCTTGTTTGTTTCCTATGAATGTCCCAAGCGACACCAACTAGACTAAAAGGCCGCTAAATGCCACTTAAAGAAGCTTTCATGGAGACGAGAGGCTCCCAATGGATGCTTGTCTGCCCTCCTACAATTTCTGAACTGAGGAGATTATCTTGAGGACGACCCAAGAGATTTTGCTGCCTGAAGCATAGCAGGAGCTGATGTCTTCACCCACAAAGTGAACAAGTGAGGGCTCACTCTGTCAAGGATTCCCTTGAGTATGCACAGAGTGGGTTTTGAAGCAAGGGCAGTCAATGGGCACATGGCCAGGAGTCATATATGTCTCTCACCTCCCACTCCTAATAGCCCCCACAAGCATGGACAGTGTGGGAGTTGCAGCCCAGATAATCCCAACCGACATGTGGAGTTACAGCATCTTGTTAGGAGTCCCCAGTGGCGCAATGGGTTAAACCCTTGTGCCAGCAGGACTACTGACCGAAAGGTCAGCGGTTCAAATCCAGGGAGTGGTGTGAGCTCCCATCTGTCAGCTCCAGCTTCTCATGTGGGGACATGAGAGAAGCCTTCCACACAGATGGCAAAACATCTGGGCATCCCCTGAGCAATGTTCTTGCAGACGGCCAATTCTCTCACACCAGAAGCGACTTGCAGTTTCTCAAGTTGCTCCTGAAATAAAAAAAAATTAACTGACTGTAACCCAAGTGCAGGGTTTGGGAATTTTGCTTTAGGTTTGATTTTATTAGAAACCCAGAGAAGCTGTCTTCCCTTTGGGAATAAGCAAAATGAACTCCCTTTCTGGGCAATGGGGTTTGGGAAGCCAAATACCCAAGAACATTTATTAGCCAGCAGATGGCGACACTTCCCTGTGACTCTGTCCAAAGACCAAATGGCCACTAAAAGGGCTCTTCTGAGGGTCATCTTCCTTCTGAATAGAACATTTTGCTCCTCTGGTTATCTTTCTTTTGCCTCAACCTCATCAAGGAACTTGGGAGAAGTCTCCTGGTTTTATGGGTCATCTCTATGCTTCCAGTCGTTCTGATGCCAGGCTCACGCTCTACCCTGCTCTGCATCCACTTTCTTGCTAGATGCAAGTGAGTTAAAACAAATGTTTCCTAGGATTCCTCCAGGCAGGGTGCAGCCAAGCCTTGAAGCTGCAACACTATTCAGTGCTAATCAAGATGATCAACTGTAACATTCACACTTGCCTCAAACAGACAAGAATTCAACGTATTGAAGATTTTCATGGCCAGAATCACTGGATTGTTGTGAGTTTTCCAGGCTGCCTGGTCATATTCCAGAAGCATTCTCTTCTGACATTTCACCTGCATCTAAGACAGGCATCCTCAGAGGTTGTGGACAAGGCAGAACGAAATATGAACTCTGAGTTGGCGAATGCTGTGTCTGAGATTGGCTACTGATTGTGTGATATATTGTTGTTTTAATCGTTTTAATTGTTGACCATTTAATTGCTGGTTTTATATGTTATTGTATTTGTGCAGGCACCAAGATGTGCCTTTTTGTAAGCCGCCCTGAGTCCCCCCTCGGGGGTTGAGAAGGGCGGGGTAGAAGTATATGAAATAATAAATAAAATAATAATTGTGAGTTTCCAACAGACCTCACAAACTCTGAGGATGACGACCATAGATGCAGGCAAAACCTCAGGAGAGAATGCTTCTGGTATATGGCCATATGCCCTATGAAGTGCCTAAACTAAAAGCCTAACACCACTGTTCATCCTTTTTCGGGCTCCTCTCAATTACACTTTTTCTATTCCTACCTCATCCAGGGTTTTATCATATTACCTCATCCATTTGGCCTGCCCGTTTTGTTCTTATATAATGTCAATTTGCTTTATTTTATTTTGCTACTGCATGTATTTTATTCTGATGTATTTTTGTTGTCTGCATTTTGTATTTTATTTTGCTGTATTGTACCTTTGGGCTTGGCCTCATGTTAGCTGCCCTGAGTCCCCTTTGGAGAGATGGTGGCAGGGTATAAATAAAGATTATTTATTTATTTATTTATTTATTATTATTATTATTATTATTATTATTATTATTACAGCCTGGAAAACTCACAACAACCCAGATAAGAGTTTTTTCTCCCACCCTGGACATTCCACAAATGTATAACTTGGCTAGTTTCCAACAGACCTCACACCCCAGAGTATGCCTGCCACAGATGTGGGCGAAACATCAGGAGAGAGTGCTTCTGGAACATGGCCATACAGCCCGGAAAACTCACAGCAACCAAATGTTTCCTACTCCATCTCCCAAAGTAAGTGAGAAGGAATAATCTCTTTATTTCACCTTGATCTGGGAAGAGGCCTTTCTGTCTTCATTTCCAAACACAAAACATGATGTATGTGTGCTTGTGAACAGCTATAATTGATATGCAATGCACAAGACTACACAATATCATCAAGGCTCATCGTCGCCAGGCTTTAGTTCTCACCTAGAAACCTCAGAAACTGAAATCACTCCAAGGTGCACTCCCACACATTTCAGACCAGTGTCCAGTTGGGTCACCAAGAAGTATGCCTTTGGCCACTGTTTGCCTGCAAATCCTTCTCCAGTGCCAGAAATACAGCTTAATGATGTAACATTAAAAAATGTTGACCATTTTTGCTACCTTGGCCACCACCTCTCCACAAAAGTCAACATTGACACTGAATTAAAAATGCCTGAGCTCTGCGAGTGCAGCTTTTTTCCAAATGAAGCAGAGAGTGTTTGAGGACCGGGACATCTGTAGGGATACCAAGGTGCTTGTTTATAAAGCTATTGTCCTCCCAACCCTGCTATATGCCTGCGAGATGTGGACTGTCTACAGACATTACATGCAACTCCTAGAACGATTCTATCAGCGTGCCTCCGAAAAATCCTGCAGATCTTTTGGGAAGACAAGCGGACAAATGTCAGTGTGCTGGAAGAAGCATTGAAACGATGGTCCTCCGCCATCAACTCCGCTGGACCGGCCACGTTGTCTGGATGCCCAACCACTGTCTCCCAAAGCAGTTGCTCTATTCTGAACTCAAGAATGAAAAATTGAATGTTGATGGGTAGGAAAAGAGATTTAAACTCTGGCATAGACACTGAGAACTGGGAAACCCTGGCCGTTGAGTGCTCCAGCTGGAGGTCAGCTGTGACCATCAGTGCTTAGAATTTGAAGAGGCATGAATGGAGGGTAAAAGAGAGAAATGTGCCAGGAGGAAGGCGTGTCAAGCCAACCCCAACCAGGACCACCGTCCACCTGGAAATCTATGCCCTCACTGCAGGAGAACATGCAGATCAAGAATAGGGTTCCACAGTCATCTGCGGATCCACTGCAAGTACACTGATCTTGGAAGAAAATCCTACTTAGACAACAAGGGATCGCCTAAGTAAGTAAGTAAAGAGTAAGTAAACCTGCAACACAAGCACTGGGTTTTAGGCTGCTCTTTGGCTGCGGCAGACAACCAAAGAGAGGGAGCTCCTCTTCCCATCATTGCCTCTCTGCTGAAATGCATTGCAAAACAGGCTTCATCAGAGCCAGAGATCAGATGAGATCACAGATACTGCTTGGCTCCAGACTGCGACTAATTGTGCCAGCAAATGGGTCAAAATATGCATTTGAAAGTCCTACTCCTACACCCCACCCGCCCCAGAATGAGATCAAATCAGAACTCTTTAGCTCATGAGGATGTTTTTTATCTTTTTCTTTCACTCTCTCTCACACAATCTCCTGTGTATTTGCTGGATTTCCTATCAGAAACGACTTTCCGCACCACAAAGGACCTGGTCTGCTCTGTTGTCCTTCCAGTGCTTTCAGACTCTCTGACCAAAGAAATGGAAGGAAAGACAGGATCAAGTTCCACTATTATCGGCAGAAGAAGGAGCCAGGCACATGGCCCAAGTGCCCTAAAGGCACTAATCCAGCTTGATTTATGGAAGCTAACCAAGGTCAGCCCCTATTAGGACTTGGATTTTTTTTCCATGTCAGGAGCGACTTGAGAAACTGTATGAGAGAATTGACCATCTGCAAGGACGTTTTCCAGGAGAAGTCCATAGAATCATAGAATCAAAGAGTTGGAAGAGTCCAACCCCCTGCCAAGAAGCAGGAATATTGCATTCAAATCACCCCTGACAGATGGCCATCCAGCTTCTGTTTAAAAGCTTCCAAAGAAGGAGCCTCCACCACACTCCGGGGCAGAGAGTTCCACTGCTGAACGGCTCTCACAGTCAGGAAGTTCTTCCTCATGTCCAGATGGAATCTCCTCTCTTGTAGTTTGAAGCCATTGTTCCGCGTCCTAGTCTCCAAGGAAGCAGAAAACAAGCTTGCTCCCTCCTCCCTGTGGCTTCCTCTCACATATTTATACATGGCTATCATATCTCCTCTCAGCTTCTCTTCTTCAGGCTGAACATGCCCAGCTCCTTAAGCCGCTCCTCATAGGGCTTGTTTCTCCAGACCCTTGATCATTTTAGTCACCCTCCTCTGGACACATTCCAGCTTGTCAATATCTCTCTTGAATTGTGGTGCCCAGAATTGGACACAATATTCCAGGTGTGGTCTAACCAAAGCAGAATAGAGCTGGGGAGCATTACTTCCCTAGATCTAGACACTATGCTCCTATTGATGCAGGCCAAAATCCCATTGGCTTTTTTTGCCGCCACATCACATTGTTGGCTCATGTTTAACTTGTTGTCCACGAGGACGTACTGCTCTCGAGCCAGGCATCCCCCATTTTGTATCTTTGCAAGTCCAGATGTTTTACCATCCTGTGGAAAGCTTCTCTCATGTCCCCACATGAGAAGCTGGAGCTGACAGATGGGAGCTCACCCTGCTCCCCGGATTCGAAACACCAACTTTACGGTCAGCAGTTCTGCTGGCGCAAGGTTTTAACCCATTGCTCCACTGGGGACTCCATAATTTGGGAGACCAACAACATATCCTACGTGAAACTGGCAAACCTACATATTAATAATTGATATTATAATTTTATATTTTATATTACATGTAATATTACTAATAATATTACAATATAATGCTATAGTACAATATAGTATTATATAATACTGATATTGTACTATGCTAATGATATAATATAATCTTGTAAGCCGCTCTGAGTCCTCTTTGGGGTGAGAAGGGTGGCATATAAATGTCATCTATATATATAAAAATGCTCTGTGCGTCATGAGTACCTTAAAAACAAAAGAACCAATGAACAAAATCACACCAAATTTGGCAACAAAATGTCTCACAAGACAAGGAGTGACCTTCACTCAAAAAATTATGATTTCATCATTTGGGAGTTGCAGTTGCTGGGATTTATAGTTCACCTAAATCAAAGAGCATTCTGAACTCCATCAACGATGGAATTGAACCAAACTTGGCACCCAGAACTCCCACGACCAACAGAAAATACTGGAAGGGTTTGGTGGGCATTGATTTGTTGGAGTTGTAGTTCACTACATCCAGAGAGCACTGTGGAACTCAAAAAATGATGGATCTCGACCAAACTACACGAATACTCAATATGCCCAAATGTGAACACTGTTTTGGGGGAAAATAGAATCTTGACATTTGGAGTTGTAGTTGCTGGTATTTATAGTTCACCTACAATCAAAGAACATTCTGAACCCCACCAACGATAGAATTGGGCCAAACCCCCCACACAGAACCCCCATGTGGGCCACAGCAACGTGTGGCAGGGGACGGCTAGTAAACAAATAAATACTTCAAATGATTCCTTGCATTTAAAAACCCTATATAATTCATGGGGTTGCCATAAGTGGGGTGACTTGAAGGAGCGCACACACACACACATATGTCTCTTTCAAGCTCAGGAAAGCTAAGAGTTTCGTGTCTTTGTGCCTCCCTCTCCTCCTTCAAGCAGATCATCAAAAGCCCCAGCAAGAAGGTGAGAGCTGGACCAAGGACTGGCCAGGAGCTGAGCTCTTCAAGAAGGATCTGGTTACTTGTTCTGTCCTGGAGTGGCTCACTTCCTCTGGAGAAGCCCCCTTCTCAACCCTTGTTGGTTCTGTTGGGTTTCATCCCTGGATTACACAAGTCTCTTGTGTCATCAAGTTTCCAGACCTCAATAAGTAGCTAGAAATAGGACTAAGCTGAGTGATTCCTTTCCTCACTTTGCCATGTGTGTTTCCCAAAAGGGCTTTGCCTTTACTCCTCCTGCTAGCCATTGTCCCCTCCCCCACTTTGATGATACAGGAATGGAATTCTGTGAGGGAACTTCCCCTTTAAGTTTTATTGCCCTGGGCTTGGCCATGTGGCCATACACCATTTTCAAATCTCTTCTGCTTTTTCTTCCCTCCAGTGAGGACGCATTTTGCCTCTCTCTGTAGGCAAAATGTAGCTGCATGGATTTTTTTTTAAAAAAAACCTTTTACCCTTTTACCTCTTTAGAAGATGAGATTTAGTTAGCTGGTTAGCTCCAAGACCTTTTTTAAAAAATCAAGAATGTATTTCTTGTACTTCAATAAATATTTTTGAACCTAATGTTCTGACTCTGCAATCCTATGTCATCCTAAAACAGGGGTCCACAAACTTTTTGAACATAGGGCCAGGTTACAGTCCCTCAAACTGTTGGAGGGCCGGATTATAATTTGAATAAAACATGAATGAATTCCTATCCACACCGCACATATCTTATTTGTAATGCAAAAAACACTGAAAAACAATACGATAATTAACACGAAGAACAATTTTAACAAAGATAAACTTATTAGTATTTCAACGGGCAGTGTGGGCCAGCTTTTGGCTGATGAGATAGTGTTGTCGTTGTGTGGTTTCAAGTCGTTTGATACTTAGATTGACCCTGAGTGAGGGCCGGGTAAATGACCTTGGAGGGCCGTATTCGGCCCTTGGGCCTTAGTTTGAGGACCCCTATCCTAAAATATAGAAGCTTATCCCAATTTTATCACAAGTACATTTCTGCTTAGGAGCCCGCAGTGATGCAGCGGGTTAAACTGCTGAGCTGCAGAACTTGCTGAACAAAAGGTTGGATGTTCGAATCCGGGAAGCGGGATGAGCTTCCGCTGTTAACCCCCGCTTCTGCAAACCTAGCAAATGTGAGTAGATGAATAGGTACTGTTTCAGCGCGAAAGTAATGGTGCTCCATGCAGTCATACCAGCCACATGACCTTGGAGGTGTTTATGGACAATGCCGGCTCTTCGGCTTAGAAATGGAGATGAGCACCGCCCACAGAGATGGACACAACTAGACTTAATGTCAAGGATAAATCTTTACCTTTACCTTAAGTTTCTGCTGGTTATGAATTTTGCTTCTGGTACTCTGATATATTTATGGTGGAATCCCCCCCAACCAGGCCCGTAACCAGGATTGGGGGCGGGGGGGGGGAGGGGGCTGAGTCTGAGCGAAAGAGGGTCTACCCTAGCAAACCTTTTGTATCGTTACCCCAATACCCCCATGCTTATGGGATATATTGAGTATGGTGATCAGATCATGATATGAATAAACATAAGAGTTTAAATAATGCACCAATAAGGCCTTCTCGCGGACCACCATGAGAATTTTGTGGGGTGGGGGGCTGAAGCCCCCCAAGCCCCCCCCTCCCCCGGCTACATGCCTGCCCCCAACTTAGAGTTATTTTGAGCCTAACAGTTCAGATTCCCCAACAGATCGTCTGGCTCAGAATGCCAATGTGGGGTGGGGTACCAAGGAGACCAGCAGTGTGGGGGTCTGCCCTGGGAGAGGTGGCACAAGCAGGAGCTTTGCCCCTCACCTCTCCTCTCAAAAGCCCCTCCCAACCCCGCAACTCTCCATTAGTGGTTCAACAGAGCCAGCCTGTGAGCATTGGTGAGGAGTCCAGCGGAGGACTGAGGCTCACTTCAGAGGAGGGGGCCCCACAGCTGCGATGCCCGCCTAGCTATGGTGCCAGCCTTCCACAGATGCGCCGGTCGGTTCGCCTTGGTACTGGGCTGCTGCCTCTCCTGGGCTCAGGCCCCAAAGACAGTTGGCCATTCTCTGAAGCTGGCGGCAGACCAGCAAAAAAGGGAGGGCGGAGAAAGGGAGGGAAGGAGGGTGAAAGAGTGAGGACCAGCCCCCCCCCCTTCCCCAGGGATGATGATTCACAGATAGTCCTGAAGGCATTATCAAGACTGGCTCTTTACCACAGGGATTGGTCCTGAAGACATGATCAAGCTTACAGATGACACTAAATTAGGAAGGATAGCCAATACTCCAGAAGACAGGAGTAGAATTCAAAATGATCTTCACAGATTAGAGATATGATTGGCCAAAGCTAACACAATGAAGTTCAACAGGGACAAATGAAAGATACTCCACTTAGGCAGAACAAAATGCAAAGATACAGAATGGGGGACGATGCCTGGCTTGATAGCAGTACATGTGAAAAAGTCCTCTTGAGCAACACATTAAACATGAGCCAAAAATGTGATGCGACAGCTAAAAAAGCCAATGGGATTTTGGCCTGCATCAATAGGAGTCTAGTGCCTAGATCCAGGGAAGTCATTCTACCCCTCTATTCTATTCTGCCTTGGTCAAACAACACCTGGAATCATACTGGGTAAAATTATGGGCACCACAATTGAAGGGACATGTTGACTCTAAGCTGGAATGTGTCTGGAGGAGGGCGACTCAAATGATCAAGGGTTTGGAGAACAAGCCCTATGAGGAGCAGCTTAAAGAGCTGGGCATGTTTAGCCTGCAGAAGAGAAGACTTAGAAGAGACATGATGTATAAATATGTGAGGAGGGAGGAAGAAGCAAGCTTGTTTTCTGCTGCCTGGAGACTAGGATGTGGGACTACAGAAAAAGAGATTCCACCTGAACATGAGGAAGAACTTCCTGTGAGAGCCATTCAGCAGTGGAACTCTCTGCCTCAGAGTGCAGTGGAAGCTCCTTCTTTGGAGGGTTTTAAACAGAGGCTGGATGGCCATCTGTTGGGGTACTTTGAATGTGATTTTCTTGGAAGAATGGGGTTGGACTGGATGTCCCAAGAGGTCTCTTCCAACGCTAGGAATCTATGATTCTCAGCCACCTTGCTTGAGTTGTGTTGGAGCCCCATGCCAAAGTTATGTGCCCATCTGTGTGCCATTCGCACCCAAGGGCATGGCAGCAGAATTCTATGATTCTAAGATCCCTGGATCCAGCCTGAAAGCCTCTCCTCCTTGAACACTCACTTGTTCAAAAGGCTGGTAGGTCCAGTGACTTGGGACATATTTGGTCTGCTAAGACCTTGCTGCCTTTCCTAGGAGTTGTTTTGTTCACCCCCCACCCCACCCCTTGGACTTGCAGTCCCCCACACCCCACCCCTTCTGTGTTGTGTCTGCCCTTCCATTGGGAAAAACACCAGGCGCGTGAATGAAAACCCCCAAAGCATTTTTATTAGTGTAGGAAGATCAGAATTTGTTTTAAAAATGCATTGTTTCCCAAACTCCCCCCGCCTCTCCTGGCACTGTCCAGGTTTGTGTCCGCCTCAGGCTTCTCCCAGACTGGGACATGCCTCATGGAGGACAGCAGCAGGAGGGACTCATGGCACAGGCACACTCCTTTCCCACCTCTGATGGAGGGCCATCCAAGATGGGCAGAAAGGCCCGGGCTGATTCTTCCAGTGAGAGCACTAAAGACAGTGGCCCATTTGTCTTGGTTAGGCCAGAGCATTGAGCCTCCACTCCCCCAAACAAAACCTGAGATGCATTTTCCTTACTGACAGAACGGGGTTGGACTAGATGACCATTGGGAACTTTTCAGTCTATCGTCAAATTACATCAATTTTCAGAGCTTTTGCAGGGAATTCAATTCTATCTGAACTCAGTTGCATTTGGAAGCTGGCCTGAACTGGACCCAGATGGGGCTCCAGGGCTTCCTAACAGGAGTCCTAGCTGGAATCCTAAAGAGGATCCAGTCAAATTTAGGCTGGATGGATGACCCTCAAAGGGACTGACTCAGTCTCAGGGCAGCTCCCACTTTCCTGTGCAGAAAGTCCTGGGTTGAACTCTTCATGGCCTCTCCAGAGATGATGTAGGGGAGCCGTTTCGGCATCCTGTGTTTCCGATCCACTTGATGTCACTGCCAAAATGATGGCATTCTGAACCTGCCAGTTCCTGCTCCCCGAAAGCAACGAAGCTTTGGTGGGGATTCCTCCTGCTGCTGCGAGAGAGGATGATCCTCAGTGCAGTCTTATCATTGCAATCCTACAAAGTCAAAAAATGGGACGTGGTGGCCATGGCAACGAGGTGAGGGCATGTGTCGAAAAGACTGCAGCATGGAGAAAGGAGGCGTATGTGAAACAGGTCCAACACACGGGAAGATTTGGCCCATGGAGTGGGGTATGCGGGCACAGGATGAGGAAAGGGGGCATTGTGTGGGAGTTCCAGCAACCAAAGGATGTCCTGAGGTCAGAAGCAGGCAAACAGGTGGGGGCCATGCTGTCCCAAAATAGGATTCCCCTTCCCAGAAGGAAGGATCCCCTACTCTGCTCTAAGGCATCTGGAACTTAGCTTTGCGAAGAAACCCAGCATGAAATAGGCTTGGGGCTTGCAATGAAATGGAGCATGAGAGCACCCAGGAAGGCGCCTTCCAAGCCAGAAGAAGCCCACCCAACAGGATCTTCCTCTACCCCTCTGCTGGCCTTGAAGTTCTCCAAAGTCAGCGGCCATTGCCTTGGCTTCTTTCAGCCTAGGCTCCTGCACAACACAAGACAAACCTATGGATCTGAAAGGATCTGTATCTTGTAACTGCAACTTCTCAAGCACCCAAACTGAATTCACGTTCCATATCTTAGAGCTGAGATGAACCATAGATCCATCCATCGCCTGCACTTGTATTCAGCCACATACTGATGCATCACTTGTGGGTCGCTATGTGAGATCAGTGGTTGATCATTCCACTAAGGATGTTTGGCACCAGGGACCCTATAGCACCCATTTGCTCTTCCTAGGTTATTGGGGTGGAAATGGGTTTTTATTGGGGTGGGGGAACAGAGGCAGCTCCTGGCCCACCCTCCATGCTAGCAGTGCAGTAAACAAGCACAAATGGGGCCTTGAGCACCAGGATGGGTTGCAGGGTGGAAGCCCACCATGCTGCCTCCTCTGCATCATGCGGAGTGATGTGGTCCATGTGCTGGAGGAGGGCAGCTGCACACTGGGCGAGGCTGAGCCAGTACACCTGGTGGGCCTGCCTTGACCCTGAAGGATGGGCAGGCCCAGAGCAGAGAGGCCAATTCTTCTGGGTTCAGATAGGAGTCTCTGGAAAGGGGTGGCCATGGCTGGTGTGAGAGTCCTGGCCAGGAGACCCTCTTTGGAGGCTCTTGGGTGACTCCACCAAAAAGGGAGGGTACGGTTTAGGGGGTCGCAGCCCCAGTGTCTCGCAGTCGTGCAAATGCTGGGAGGAAGGTTGCAGGCAGCCTGTCTCATGAGCTCCTTCCTCAGCCCCTTTGGCCCCTCAAGGAGCTACCGGGTGGACGTCCTCAGAGCGCAGGACTTTGTAGACCAGCCAGTAGAAGATGTTGAAGACCAGAAAGGTGAAGGGGAAGACAGCCCGGGAGATGGTGTCGATGCGCTTGGCCCGGTCCAGGTAGCGCCTCCGAAGCAGCTCCCCTTCCCGGATTAGGGCAGCGGCAGCAGCGGCGGCAGCAGCTGCAGGGGGCGGCGGGCTGTACAGGTGGGGGCTCTCCGCAGAGGGGGCTCCTCCACTGTCCTTCGCCTGCTGCAGACAGTGGCCCAGGCCATAGCCCCGGAAGTAGAAGCGGCTCTCTCTGACCAGCTCCTCCTCCTGGAAAGAAAGGAAGGAAAGAAGGAAGGAAGGTGTGTGTGGGGGAGGAGGGAGAAAAAAAATGGGAGGAGATGCTTGACTCTGACCCCCCAGGCCTAGCCCACACCTCTACCAATCCTGTCATTTTATCCTTGCTGGATTTCATCTCTGGACTGCACAAGTCTCTTGTATCAACAAGTCTCCAGTCCTCAATGTGTAGCTAGACTACAAATAGGATTAGGCTGTTCCCCAAAAGGGCTTTGTCTTTGGGTTGTTGTGTGTTTTCCAGACTGTATGGCCATGTTCCAGAAGCATTCTCTCCTGACGTTTCATCTGCATCTATGGTAGGCATCTGAGGAGAGAATGCTTCTGGAACATGGCTGTACAGCCAGGAAAACACACAACAACCCAGTGATTCTGGCCATGAAAGCCTTTGACAAGGCTTTGTCTTTCTTCCTCCTGCCAGCCACTGTCTCCTCCCCCTTTGAAGACATAGCAATGCTATGTCTGTGAGGGAACTTCCTCTTTAAAGGTATTTTTATTGCCCTGGGCTGGTCATGTAGCCATCGCTACCATTGCTCTCTTCTGCCTTTCCTTCCTTCCTTCCAGTGAGGATGCACATTTTGCTTTTCTCTTTAGGCAAAATGTAGCTGCATGGATTTTTTTTTACTTGTTTAACTTTTACCTTTTTTTAGAAGATAACATTTAGTAAAACTTTTCTAACAAGAATATATTTATTTTATGTCAATAAATATTTTAGAACCTGAAGTTTTGACTCTGCAATCCTGTGCCATCCTAAGATATAGAAGCTTGTCCCAGCTCATCACATGTAAGTTTCTGCTGGTTATGAAGTTTGCTTTGGTACTCTGCTATATTTATGGTATAATCACCCCAACTGAGGGTTATTTTTGAGCCTAACAGCTCAGATTCCCCAACAGTCCTCCCTCTCTTTCTATCATAACTTGGAGGCCATTGATGGGAGGACCCCCACCCCAGGTATCCCTCCCACCCATGACAACTGATACATTCATGGTCTGCTCTGCTAGGCTGGTTTCCCACACAAAACACAGGAAGATGGTGCACAAGGGGAAGGGGGTCTGTGAGAAGTTTGGGGTGAGAGGGTTCGCATGCAAAGCAGGCTGGGAAGGGCATGATCCACGCAGGAGGAAGCAGTGGGGTGTCGGGGAGTGTGGGGCTGGGGGTGAGGGAGGGGCGGTGTTCTTGCTGCTTTGGAATTTTTACCCTGGAGCCGATGCTGCTGAATTGAGAGAGGGTCTCGTAGGTGGACTCGCTGCTGCTGGGCAGGTCCTCCAGCGGCTGCAGGGACTCCAGGCTGGGCGTCCGGCTGGCCAGGCCCTTTGGCGTCCAGCAGGAAGGGAGGGCACATCAAACAGAAACAGGAGACTGGGTGACCAAGGGAGTCAACAGCTCAGCAGCCGGTTCAAGTTCAGCAGCAATGGCAATGGCACTGGGTTCGCCTGGGACTGAGCACCTTTGGGCGCTTTGCATGGAGAGGACCACCCCACTCCTCGGGGAGACTGCACACATCCCCCTACACACACACACATGCACACACATGCACATTGTGCAAAAAGGCGGGGAAGGGCAGAGGGAGCAATGATCAGGGTCACATGGGTGGAAATGGCAAGAGAAGAGCTCCCAGCTCAAGATGAGGAGGGGTTTGGGAAGCTCAGGGACATCACACTCCACCTCAGTATTTGGGGACTCCAGAAAACAGCTCCAAATGAGAGTGGCAGTCACCCAGGGGCAGATTTCCTCTCCCCCCGCCATTCAACAATGAGAGAAGGGGCAAAAAGGCAGGCAATGGGGTTCCCTTTGGGGTGGCCCTCCCATGCCAGATAGTGAGACCGTTGCCTCCTCAGCAGGAATTGGTCATTGAAGTTGAATCTAGGGAACTGAAAGGGTTGGGTTGATAGTTGGTATCTCCAAATGCTGGGAAATTAGCTTATCTTTGAGTAGATTTTATTCTCTTCTATTTATGTAACTAAAAGTATGGATACCACAGATGAGGAGGACACGGAGGGAGGATATGGGGGAAGGAAATGGCTGCAGGTAAGGAGGTAGGAGGGGATCCACAAGCAGGAAGGGCTACTGGGGGACAAGAAGGGGCACAGCCCCTCCACAACAACAGCCTGCAGGGCCACAGCTGACTCTCTAGGGCAGGGGTAGGGAACCTTTGGCCCTCCAGCTGTGGTGGACTTCAACTCCCACAATTCCTTGAGGCTCGGCATTCGCCCCAAAGGCTTACCTTGGCCCAATGCCGAGCCTCAAGGAATTGTGGGAGTTGAAGTCCACCACAGCTGGAGGGCCAAAGGTTCCCTACCCCTGCTCTAGGGTGAGTAAGCCTACTGTCCTCTCTGTTCTACTCATCCCAAGGGGCACCTTTCCTAAGCAGGCAACCATCTCTGTCATCTCTCCCATCCTGCCCAACAGCCCACTCCCTGGACTGGAATTGGAGATCTACAGCAGCATATGGAAATCTCACAGGATCTCTGTGGATCCCTACTCTCCATACAACTGACCGGTGACTCTCTGTGACCCTCCATCTCTCCCTCCCTTAAATGTATGCAAATATGTGTGCAAAGGGAGGCTATGTCCAGCTGGCTGTCTACCTGTTCCAAGGCTCTTTCCTCATGTGGATGTGGGGCCTGCATTCACTGCTTCGGCCACGAGAGGGCATTAATGCAACCCTGGCCAAGAGCCTGGGGAGGCTGGAGCTGCGACCAAAGTGGCAGCCCTGGAAGAAGCAGCCAAATGGCTGTCTGGAACAACTGGGCACCCAAAGGGAAACCCACTCTCCCTATTCCCCACTGGTATCCCCACTGGGGAGCATGGGAGGGGGAGGGGGGTCCTTGGGTAGATCTCTGCCTTGTCCAGCTGAGCCGGGAGGAAAGGCATGCAAGACTCACAAGGCTTGGCTCATGGGCTCTGGCCTGACTCTGGGGCAAGCGGCCAGGGAAGCCTCCGCCTCAGAGACAATTCCTGCACACACATTTTGCTCGGGCCATGCCAGAGGCGTACAGTTGATCCCTGTGGGGCTGTAAACCTTGCTCGCTGCAATTATTTTCACTCTCTAGAACAGTGTTTCTCAACTTCCCGAATGCCGCGACCCCTTAATATAGTTCATAATGCTGTGATGACCTCAAACCATAAAATTATTTTTTGTTGCTACTTCATAACCGTCATTTTGCTACTGTTATGAATCTTAATGTAAATATCCAATACGCAGGATGTATTTTAATTCACTGGATCAAATTCAGCACAAAAACGCCCAAATTTGAATACTGGTAGGGTTGGGGGTGGGGGATTGATTTTGTCATTTGGGAGTTGTAGTTTTCCAGCAATGATGGAATTGAACCAAACAGAACTTCCATGACCAACAGAAAATAATGGAAGGGTTTGGTGGGCATTGACCTTGAGTTTGGGAGTTGTAGTTCACCTACAGAGATATTATGGAATCAAACAATGCCATACCTGGACCAAATCTGGCACGAATACTCAATATGCCCAACTGTGAACACTGGTGGAGTTTGGGGAAAATAGACCTTCACATCTGGAAGTTGTACTTGCTGGGATTTATAGTTCATCTACAATCAAAGAGCATTCTGAACCCCACCAATGATAGAATTGGGCCAAATTTCCCATACAGAACCCCCATGACCAACAGAAAATGCTGTCTTTCTGATGATGTTTAGTGACACCTCTGAAACCCCTTGTGCCCCCCCCCCCCCGGATCCTGACTCCCAGGTTGAGAAACACTGATCTATGAGTTACCTTTTCCATCTCCTCTGCAATGATTGGGCTCTGTTACTAACTAAATGCAAAACCAGTCTGTGCTGCAGAGACCCAGGTGGGCCTAAGCTTAGGAAAGCCCAACACTGAGAAAGCCCTCCAAGTTGGCCTTCAGTTGAACAGCATCTCCTCTTTGTCTTTTCTGGTCATTCTGGCTCATGTTTTCAAATTGTGTTTTGATCTTCTAGTATTTTATTTCTTTCGGGGTTGCACAACTTAGCTTTACTCAAGTCTAATTCACTGGAACTATTGATCTATCAGTCAAATAAGTCATGCTTTAAATATGCAACTTTTGGGTTTCATCCCTGGACTGCACAAGTCTTTTGTGTCATCAAGTCTCAATGAGTAGCTAGACTAGAGATAGGATTAGATTGAGGGATTCCTCCCCCACATTCCTATGCATGTTTACCAAAAGGGCTTAGTCCAGTGGTTCTCAACCTGTGGGTCCCCAGATGTTTTGGCCTTTAACTCCCAGAAATCCTAACAGCTGGTAAACTGGCTGGGATTTCTGGGAGATGTAGGCCAAAACACCTGGGGACCCACAGGTTGAGAACCACTGGCTTAGTCTTTCCTCTTCCTGCTAGCCAGTGTTTCCTCCCCCTTTGAAGATGTAGCAATGGAATCTCTGTGAGGGAACTTCCTTTTTAAAGGTAGTTGTATTGCCCTGGGCTGGCCAGGTGACCATTCACCATGATTGTTCTTCTTCCGCCTTTCCTACCTTTCAGCGAGGACGCATTTTGCCTCTCTCTCTAGGCAAAATGTAGCTGCATGGATTTTTAAAAAACTTTTTACCCTTTTACCTCTTTAGAAGATGAGATTTAGTAAGCTAGTCAGCTCCAAGACCTTTTCTATCTAGGATGCATTTCTTTTATTTCAATAAATATTTTTGAACCTAAAGTTCTGACTCTGCAATCCTGTGCCATCCTAAGAAATAGAAGATTATCCCAGTTTCACTACATGCAAGTTTCTTCTGGTTATGAAGTTTACTTCTGTACTCTGCTATATTTATGGTGGAGTCACTCCGACTGAGGGTTATTTTAAGCCTAACAGTTCAGATTCCCCAACAGCAACTAATCCAGCTCTTTACGTCACGGAGAGTTTTATACTACCCAGAAGTTAAAAACAGACAAAACAAGGGTGCAAAGGTAGGAAGCCCAAGGAAAAAAGCTGTATGAATGGGCCCCCGATCCCCTCCACAAAGGTCATGACACAGAGATGACAGTTCAGCCTTTGTTTCATGGGTTGATAGGCACCTATCCTGACCCCGTGTTGGTTCCCTGCAGCTGTGCCCATTTGGTCCCATAAGAAGACAGTCTGGAGGAGGAAGAGGAAGAGGAGGAGGAGGAAGGTGTGTGCGCGCATGTGTGTGAGACACTCCATTCACTCACCATCCGCTGCCGGCGCTGCCTCCGGCGAAGACGCATGAACTCCTTGTGTTGCCGGGAGACAAAGTTGACGGCCGCATACTCCAGCAAGGCAGCGAAGACAAAAAGGAGGCAGACGGCCATCCAAATGTCTATGGCTTTGACGTAGGAGACCTGCCAAAGATTCCAGGGTGTTACTGAGTATGTATGGGAGGGGTTCATGCCCAGCAAGGCCCTGCTGGACTCCCCCCCCAATGAGCCTTTTTTGCTGCTCAATAATAATAATAATAATAATAATAATAATAATAATAATAAATCACAATTGTGGAAAAGAAAAAAGTTGGGATTATTGATATTGCCATACCAGATGACATTCTCATTGAGGAAAAACAACAGGAAAAACTCAGCTGTTATCAGGACCTCAAAATCGAACTGCAAAGGCTCTGGCATAAACCAGTACAGGTGGTCCCAGTGGTCATCGGCACACTGGGTGCCATGCCAAAAGATCTCAGCCGGCATTTGGAAACAATAAACATTGACAAAATCATGATCTGTCAACTGCAAAAGGCCCCCTTACTTGGATCTCTGCACGCATCATTCAAAAACACATCACACAGTCCTAGACGCTTGGGAAGTGTTCGACTTGTGATTTTGTGATACAAAATCCAGCATATAGATCTCATTTGCTGTGACATACTGTGCTTTTGTGTCAGTAAAATAATAATAATAATAATAATAATAATAATAATAATAATAATAATGGCAAGCATCCTTAGAGGTAGTGAGGTCTGCCATAGATGAAGGGGAAATGTCAGGAGAGAATGCTTCTAGAACATGGCCATATAGCCCGAAAAACCTACAACAACCCATTAATTCCAGCCATGAAAGAGTAATAATAATAATTATTATTTATTTATTTATTTATTTATTTGTTTATACCCCACCACCATCTTCCCAAGGGGACTTGGGGTGGCTAATATGAGGCCAAGCCCAAAAATTACAATAAGGCAAAATAAAATACAAACAAGCTAGTAATAACATCAAATAAATAAAGTGCAAGCAATAACAATAACAAAGTATACAATAAAATGAACACAAAATAAAATGGCAAAGGAATTAAAACAGTGTCAGTAAAATAATAATAATAATAATAATAATAATAATAATAATAATCTCGGATTATTATTATTATTATTATTATTATTATTATTATCTGAGATTATCCAAGATTTGGAGCATTTATGACATTGCAGAGAAGGTTTGGATCCTATGCAACCACCATCTAACCTTCACTATTTACTAAATAGCCTCTTTATGGGTATTTTGATCTGTATCTTTTAATATACGCGGAGCCATGGGTTCAAATGACAGGAAATGAGATTCCACCTGAACATTAGGCAGAACCTCCTGACCATGAGAATTGCTACTCAACAGTGGAACTCTCTACCTCAGAGTGTAGTGGAGGCTCCTTCTTTAGAGGATTTTCAACTGAGGCCATATGGCCAACTGTCACGGTGCTTTGATTGTGATTTTCATACATGGCAGGGGGTTGGACTGGATGGCCAATGTGGTCTTTTCCAACTCTATGATTCTCTGATTCTATATTTGTTAACTGTGTAGCTTCCTGGTAGCACAGTGTGTTAAACCGTTGAACTGCTGGATTTACTGACTGAAAGGTTGGCAGTTCGAATCCGGGGAGCGAGGTGAGCTCCCGCTTTTAGGCCCAGCTTCTGCCAACATAGCAGTTTGAAATCATGCAAATGTGAGTAGATTAATAGGTAACGCTTCTGCAGGAAGGTAACAGCACTCCATGCAGTCATGCCAGCCACATGACCTTGGAGATGTCTATGGACAATGCCGGCTCTTCGGCTTAGGAATGGAGATGAGCACCACACCCCAGAGTGGGACATACTAGACTTTACCTTTATCCAACTGTGTTAAGACACAGTTTGTGGGGTGGGACGAGGAAGCAGATGATGATGATGATCATAGAATCATAGAATCAAAGAGTTGGAAGAGACCTCATGGGCCATCCAGTCCAACCCCCTGCCAAGAAGCAGGAATATTGCATTCAAATCACCCCTGACAGATGGCCATCCAGCCTCTGTTTAAAAGCTTCCAAAGAAGGAGCCTCCACCACACTCCGGGGCAGAGAGTTCCACTGCTGAACGGCTCTTACAGTCAGGAATTTCTTCCTCATGTTCAGGTGGAATCTCCTTTCTTGTAGTTTGAAGCCATTGTTCTGCGTCCTAGTCTCCAAGGAAGCAGAAAACAAGCTTGCTCCCTCCTCCCTGTGGCTTCCTCTCACATATTTATACATGGCTATCATATCTCCTCTCAGCCTTCTCTTCTTCAGGCTAAACATGCCCAGCTCCTTAAGCCGCTCCTCATAGGGATTGTTCTCCAGACCCTTGATCATTTTAGTCGCTCTCCTCTGGACACATTCCAGCTTGTCAATATGATGATGATGATGATGATGATGATGATGATGATGGACACAGCCCCTGCCCCCCTCCCTCCCAGCAATCCCCCCTTTCTGCATCTTCCAGACCATTCTGGAACCTTCCTCTCAATCCCTGAGGGGCACAAACACCCCCTCCTTTAAATACTTTGCAATTGTGGGGGCGTTGAGCCCGGAAGTGCACCTTTGCAGCCACAGTTGTTATGGCAACAGCACATCTGGTGCAGCAGCAGCATCCCAGGCAGAAGTGTCAGTGGGTGGGATCTGGACTCCTTCCCTTATGAAAATAGGAGGGGATGTGTTCTACCAATGTTATCTCCTTGACCCACAAGAAGAGGGTCACCTGGGCTACCTAAAGGCTGTTGTGGCTTCTCTGGAAAGACATGTTTTGGGCACTTTTTGCCTCCGCCTCCCGCCCATCTTGTCACTGACCTTAGGCAGAGAGGCCCGAGAGCCTGCACTCTGAGTGGTCATGGTCAGCACAGTGGTGATGCCCAGCCCCACACGGGCAGGAGCAGCATCCATGTTGATCCAGAAGGAGACCCAGGAGAGGATGACGATCAGCAGGCTGGGAATGTACATCTGGATGAGGTAGTATCCCATCTGCCGCTCCAGGTGGAATTTCACCTCGATGCAGGTGAACTTCCCTGGGAGGAGGGAGGGACACACAGAGAGAAAAGGCACAGGTTTGCAGACCTTTCAGGGCCTCCCATGTGTGTACTCATCCTTAAACCAACAGCTTCTTCCTCAACCCTTTCAGTTTTGAATGCAAAGCAGCAAGTAAACAATGTTTCTCAACCTTTCTAATGCCATGACCCCTTAATACCTGTTGTGGTGATCCTCAACCATAACATTATTTTCGTTGCTACTTCATAACTGTCATTTTGCTACTGTTATGAATCGTCATGTAAAAATATCTGATATGCAGGATGCGTTTTCATTCACTGGACCAAATTTGGCACAAATACCCAATACACTCAAATCTGAATACTGGTGGGGTTGGGGCAGGCATGTAGCCCGGGGGGGGGGGGGGGGCTTGAGGGGCTTCAGCCCCCCCCCCTGAAATTCTCATGGTGGTTCACGAAAAGGCCTTACTGGTGCATTATTTAAACTGTTATGTTTATTCATATCATGATCTGATCACCATACTCAATATATCCCATATGCATGGGGGTATTGGGGTAATGATACAAAAGGTTTGCTAGGCTAGACCCTCTTTCACTCAGACTCCAGCCCCCCCCCCCGAAACTCAGCCCCCCAACCCCCCCTGAAAAAAATCAGCCCCCCCCTCCCGAACGAAATCCTGGCTATGGGCCTGGGTTGGAGGATTGATTTTGTCATTTGGGAGTTGTAGTTGATGGGATTTATAGTTCAGCTACAATCAAAGACCATTCTGAACTCCACCAATGGTGGAACTGAACCAAATTTGGCACACAGAACTCCCATGACCAACAAAAAATACCGGAAGGGTTTGGTGGGCATTCACCTTGAGCTTTAGAGTTGTAGTTCACCTACTTCCAGAGAGTACTTTGACTCAAACAATGAGGGATCTGGACCAAACTTGGTATGAATACTCAATATGCCCAGATTTGAACACTGGTTGAGTTTGGGGAAAATAGACCTTGACATTTGGGAGTTCTAGATACTGGGATTTATAGTTCACCTACAATCAAAGAGCACTCTGAACTCAGCCAACAATGGATCTGCACCAAACTAGGCACACTACCTACATGATCAACATTGAATACTGGTGGGGTGGGATGGTGGCGCTGTTTTTAAATTTTGGAAGTTGTAGTTCACCAACACCAAAAAGGAAGAGAAGGACAGCTGGAGAAATCTCCAGCCTTCTCTAGCAAAGGGGTTCTTAAGACCACCAGAAATATATTTTCTGATGGTCTTTGGCGACCCCTCTGAAACCCCCCTCAAGACCTCTCCAGCGGTCCCAACCTCCAAATTGAGAAACACTGAAGTAAGGAGAGCAATTGAAAGCAGCATCCCAGGCAGGTAGGCAGTGGGGCTGGGGACTGGGGGGCAGCAGCAATGTGTTAGAAGTGGTATGCTGCATTATATCTCTTATTAGGGTTTAAATATATTTTAACCATTTTTTAAAAAACAATTAATTAGCTCTTTTAAAGCTTTTTTTGTAGCATAAGACATTTACTTATGCTGGTTGCTTTCCTTTGCCAGGCAATAGAGAGGCCGGACCCCCAAACCCATCTGCACTCCATTGCAGCTTACCAGTGTTGTATGACTTCGTGCAGTAGCCCAGGTCCTTCTCGGCCCTCAGGATGAACTGGGGCAGCGTCAGACCCTCGGCCACCTGAACAGCCTCCTGGCCCTTCACCCACTCAAAGATCAAGTCGTTCATGGTGTAGCCAACTGCAAGGCAAAGGGAGGCCTGTGAGCCCAAGGGAGAGGGAGAGGGGTCTAGACCCACAAACAGATCCCAATACATGCATCCCTCATGTAAGCCACCCCAAGTCCCCATTGGGGAGATGGTGGCGGGGTGCAAATAATAATAATAATAATAATAATAATAATAATAATAATAATTATTATTATTATTATTATTATTATTATTATTATTATTAATCAATTCCTTCTGCCCCACAGACTCTGGGGCCTGGGGCATTCTTAGCTCCTTGGATCTCTTAGCAGTATTTACTCACAACTCTCCAGCTGCATTGTGCATGTCTGGATATCCATGGGGAAGTTCTTCAGATCCATGGGGCAAGAGAGGATGAGGGTCAACCTGGAAGAAGGGGAAAGAAGGGGGTCAGGGTCATGCATTGAAAAGCACATGAACTCCATCCTGTTTACTCCCAAGTGGCAAGAGCCATTACAATAGTCCTGACCAGCCCATTTGAAGCAAGGGAAAGTGGCTTAGAGAGGAACCATCTCAGAATCCCCCAACTGGCAGCACAGACTGTGGAAGATTCAGGGGGCAACAACCTCCCAAGAAATTTCCCTCCATCCTTTGCCTTTGCAAGAACCTGTGGCTCCCCACCTGATGCTGTAAAGCACATTCCCATTCTTGAAGATACGCAAAAGCTTGTTGTCGGTGGTGACTTCATGGAAGTTGGCCCCCTTCTCGTTGGCAAAGAACAAGTCTGGCTTCCAGATGGAGTCCAGCATGGAGGGGTCCAGATCCAGGGAGTCATCGGGGTACTCCCGGTAGGCCAAGCGGGGGTCGTTCCACTGCTGCCGCAAGAAAACGTTGACCCGGTAGTCCTGGGTGGGTAAAAAATGGTTAGACCCTCAGCCAAGTGGCCACTCAGGGGGATGGGGGTGACCCAGGGGTGTGGTGGGAAAGAGATGGGGCTGGATCAGCAGTGGACAATCCTTGAGTAGACGGGGGAATCCACTTCTGGTTTCTCAAGGTGCTGAATCCATCCCCCAAAATAAATTCAAAATCCCTTGGTTGATTTTTTTAAAGTGTGTGTGTGGGGGGAGGGGGGCAGCTTTCTCACACAAGTCCCTGCACACCCCTGATTTGACAGAGAGCCTGGTCTAGAGAGAAAGGCAGACCCTTTCACCCATCTTGACATGATGAGAGAGGATTGAGGAGGGGAGACAGGAGGAAGGAGCCATTTCTTACCATGGTCGTTTCTGTGACTGACCCAAAACTGTTGATGAAGATGTTGCATGTCACGTTGACAGGCGGGCCTGGAAGCCAACGGGAAAAGGAAAATTAGTTGCCTAGCAGTGGCAGCCTCTGTGTGTGCACTTGTGTGCACTCAGGGTGAGGTTTCCTACTTGTGTAGGACAGCGTTTCTCAACCTGGGAGTCGGGACCCCTAGAGGGCCGTGGGGGGAGGGTCATGGGTGTTACCATTAGGAAACACAGCATTTTCTGTTGGTCTTGGAGGTTCTGTATGGGAAGATTGGACCAATCTCTCATTGGTGTGGTTTAGAATGCTCTCTGATTGTAGGTGAATTATAAGTCCCAGCAACTACAACTCCCAAATGTCAAGGCCTATTTCCCCCAAACTCCACCAGTGTTCACATTTGGGCATATTAAGTATTTGTGTCAAGCTTGGTCCAGATCCATTATTGTTTGATTCCACAATTTTCTCTGGGTGTAGGTGAACTACAACTCCCAGACTCAAGGTCAATGGCCACCAAACCTTCCAGTATTTTCCATTGGTCATGGGAGTTCTGTGTGCCAAGTTTAGTTCAATTACATCATTGGTGGAGTTCAGAATGGTCTTTGATTGTAGGTGAACTATAAATCCCAGCACCTACAACTTCCAAACATCAAGGTTTATTGTCCCCAAACTCCACCAGTGTTCACATTTGGGCATATTGAGTATTTGTGCCAAGTTTGGTCCAGATCCATGTAGGTGAGCTATAAATCAGAGCAACTACAACTCCCAAATTACAAAATTACAAAATCCTGGTCTAGGATCAGCAAGGGACAACTCTGGCCCTTTTCAGGGCTTGGACCACCAATCCTGTCACCTTTGACCATTGACTTTTCTGACAATTGGTCATTCCTTTGTCTGCCTGGGTCTTGGGGTAAGCTCAGGCTTCACTTATCTTCAGACCTTTCATTTCCAGAAGCCTTGTGAGACCTGGTTCCTACTAGCAATAGCAGCTTCCCGACAACCCCAAAAAGAAGAATGATTACCTTTGAAATTGGGTCTGATGCGGGCATCGTACCCCGAGGTCCGGCCCATGAGCTTGTCCAGGAAATCAGAGGGAGACATTGGCTGGGGCATGCTCCGCGGAGTGGACTTGGCTTCTCCTTTCCCTGACACCAGTCTAGAAAAAAGGGAAGCAGCAGTGAGGATGGGGCAAAGAGGGGACAGCAGGCATCAGGTGCCCACATTTCCCCAGCTGCACACCTGCACACACACCAACACGCACGCTTGGCTACATGGCACCACTGGGAAGGAGAATCCAGTCTCTCCCACAAGCCTTCTCAACTGGGACCTGTCTGTCAGAGCCTGGCAGCTTGAAGAGTTTGGCACCTGGCACACGAATCACACCAGGGACCCCATTGTCTGACTACAGGGATAGGCAGGAGATGGATTCAGCATTGCATTCCTTGCCAAAGTTTCACATCAAAAACCAGATGCCTTGGAAAGTTCCCTCTGAAGCACAGGTTAAAACTGTTCAGGAAACCTTTCTCTGCTGCTTTTCACCGGTCCTTTAAAGCTATTTCCCTTTTTGCTCAGCCCATACGTGTCTGGGCCCATAAACCCTTTGTTGGGGAATCTGAGCCGTTGGGCTCAAAATAACCCTCAGTTGGGGTGATTCCATCATAAATATAGCAGAGTTCAGAAGTAAACTTCATAACCAGCAGAAACTTACATGTGATGAGCCGAGATAAGCTTCTATTCTTTAGGATGGCACAGGATTTCAGAGTCAGAACTTTAGTTCAAATGTATTTATTGAAGTAAAAGAAATACATTCTAGATAGAAAAGCTCATGGAGCCAACTAGTTTATTAAATCTCATTTTCTAAAGAGGTAAAAGGGTAAAAAGTAAAAAAAAATCCATGCAGCTACATTTTGCCTAAAGAGAGAGGCAAAATGTGCATCCTCACTGGAAAGAAGAAAAAGGCAGAAGAGGCAGTGGTGGAGACCACATGGTCAATCCAAGGCAATAAAAATACCTTAAAGAGGAAGTGTGACACATAATCCCATTGCTACATCTTCAAAGGGGAGGAGACAGTAGCAAGGAGGAGGAGAATGAAAAGCAATGCTTTTTTAAAATAAACATCCATAAGAATGAGGGGAGGAATCCCTTAGCCCAATCCTATCTGTAGTCTAGCTACTCATTGAGGATTGGAGACTTGATGATACAAGAGACTTGTGCAGCCCAGGGATGAAGCCTAACACTCTGTTTCTAAAACACCTGTAAGATATCATACATTTCCAACAGCTTTGCCAGGGAAGACATCTCCCAAGGCTGGGGTTGGGGTGGAGTGTCCTTTCCATGGCCTTTCATTCCAGCCAGAAATCACAAACTTTGCAATGAGCTACAAAGGCCTTGGGGAGGCCACATTTCCAAGGGAAGAGCATTGGGCCCAGCCCATGTATATCCAGGCCTCCTTCTGTTACTAGATTACTAACGGGTGCTGGGTACAGGGAGCACACCACTCCGCTGTTACACCAGCTCCACTGGCTGCCAATTAGCTTCCGAGCACAATTCAAAGTGCTGGTGTTAACCTATAAAGTCCTAAACGACTCCGGCCCTGTTTACCTCTCCGAACGTATTCTCCCCTACGTACCATCAAGATTACTAAGATCGTCTGGAGAGGCCCTGCTCTCGGTCCCACCGGCCTCGCAAGCGCGCCTGGTGGGGACGAGGGACAGGGCCTTCTCGGTGGTGGCCCCGTGACTCTGGAACTCTCTCCCACTGGAGGTCAGAACCGCCCCGTCTATCCTGACATTCAGGAAACGGGTGAAGACGTGGTTGTGGAGACAGGCTTTCGATGAATGAGACAGCACCCTAGGATTGTGGATGGAAGATGAGGTATACTTGTTTTTAATATGACGACTGACCAACATAGTTTTAAATATAGTTGTTATTTTAAATGTGTTATTGTAATTATGAACTATGATATTTTACTGATTGTATGTTTTTATGGTTGTAAACCAGGCTGAGTCCCTCTAAGAGGTGAGAAGCTCGGTATAGAAAACTTTGAAATAAATAAATAAATAAATCTGTTACTCAACAGGCCTTCAAATCCCAGATTGTGAAGCTGTTCAGAGGCGGAGTGTTGGGGAATCTGAGCTGTTAGGCTCAAAATAACCCTCAGTTGGGGTGATTCCACCATAAATATAGCAGAGTACCACAAGTAAACTTCATAACCAGCAGAAACTTATGTGTGGTGAACTAGGATAGCCTTTTATATCTTAGGATGGATTAGGATTGCAGAGTCAGTATTTAGGTTCAAAAATATTTATTGAAGTAAAAGAAACACATCCATGATAGAAAAGGTCTTGGAGCTAACTAGCTTACTAAGTTCATCGTCTAAAGTGGTAAAAGGGTAAAAAGTAAAAAAAATCCATGCAGCTACATTTTGCCTAAAGAGAGAGGCAAAATGCATCCTCTCTGGAAGGAATAAAAGGCAGAAGAGACTGGAAAATGGTGAATGGTCACATGGCCAGCCCAGGGCAATAAAAACCTAAAGAGAAAGTTCCCTCTTTCCATTCCTACATCATCAAGTGAGAAAAGACAGTGGCTGGCAGGAAGAGGAAAGACAAAGCCGTTTAGGGAAACATGCATAGGAATGTGGGGGGAGGAATCCATCAGCCTAGTCCTATCTCTAGCTTAGCTACTCATTGGGGACTGGAAAGTTGATGACACAAGAGACTTGTGCACTCCAGGGATGAAACTCAACAAAAACCAATATTGGACTCGTTCTGCTGGCATCAAATTTATCAAGCCTTCCTGTACAGTGCAACCCAAAAAGGCTCCAGCTAATAACTAACTTATATTTTCCTTTCCTAAATTGAATGTGTGGACCAGAAACCATCTTCTTCAATGGGAGGGAAATAGCTTTCCTACCCACAGTGGCACTAAATAAGCCTTGAAGTTCTCAGCCATGAGGGATATGAGGGACTTAAGAAAGACACCCCTAGGAATAAAGGGGACCCCTCAGGAAAGATTGGGATGCCACCATATGAGGATGCCACCTGGGGAAGGATCAGAAGGCTACATCAGCTTCCACTTTTCTCTCCCTGCTGAAAGCCTTCTCTAAAAGGAATGCTTCATTTGGGTTGTTGTGAGTTTTCCGGGCTGTCGGGCCATGTTCCAGAAGCATTCTCTCATGACGTTTCCCCTGCATCTATGGCAGGCTGTTGGAAACTACAAAAATGCGATTTATATATCTGTGGAATAATGTCCAGGGTGGGAGAAAGAATTCTCATCTGTGTAAGGTAGGTGTGAATGTTTCAGTTAGCCACCTTGATTAGCATTTAATGGCCTGACAGTTTCAAGGCCTGGCTTCTTACTGCCTAAGGGAATCCTTTGTTGGGAGGTGATTAGCTGGCCCTGATTGTTTCCTGTCTGGAATTCCCCTGTTTTTGAGTGTGGTTCTTTACTTACTGTTATGATTTTAGAGTTTTTTTTAATACTGGTAGCCAGATTTTGTTCATTTCCATGGTTTCCTCCTTTCTGTTGACATTGTCTGCATGCTTGTGGATTTCAGTGGCTTCTCTGTGTAGTCTGACATGGTGGTTGTTAGAGCATTTCTGTGTTCTCAAATAATATGCTATGTCCAGGTATGGCTGACTTCTCTGGTTGGATTAGTCTGCAGTGCCTGTCATATTCCTTGATTTGTGTCTGGGCAATGCTTGAAACTGTCAGGCCATTAAATGCTAATTAAGGTGGCAGGAAGCAGCTAGGCTTTGAAGCTGCAAGGCTATTTAATGCAAATCAAGATGGCCAATTGCAACATTCACACTTGCTGTAAACAGACAAGAGCTCTTTCTCCCACCCTGGACATTCCACAGATATATAAACCCAATTTTCCTAGTTTCCAACAGACCTCACAACCTCTGAGGATGCTTGCCATAGATGCAGGTGAAACGTCAGGAGAGAATGCTTCTGGAACATGGTCATACAGCTCAAAAAACACAACAACCCAGTGATTCTGGCCATGGCCATGAAAGCCTTTGACAATACAATGCTTCACTTGACCATGGAGGGGAGGTCACTGGGGCCTAGTTGACCTATTCTGATTGCCTGTCTCTTTTCTATCTCCTTCAGAATGGGTTCTCCTCTCTTCTCTTCTCCTGCTGCAGTACATGGGCTCCTCCTTGATTGCCAGCACAGGAGACCCCAGGCAGATCTCTCCTGGAGAGTAGAAGGAAGCCATGGCCAAGAGCTCCTGAGGCAAATAAGCCCGAAAAGCTGTTGTCTCCTGAGGGAACATTTGGAGTGCGTGCCTATGTCTTCAGGAAGCAAGGAGCAGTGAGGAAGGGAAGGATCTGGAGAATGTAATGCCATAGAACCAGTCCCCCCCCCTCTCAGCCCATGCCTTTCTTTCCAATTCTGTGGTCAATGTGGGCCTGGTCTAGACCTCACCTGGAAGGAAGGGCTTGATGTTAGCTAGTTCATGGCACTTGAGAGCTGGAAGGCTCTTTGCTCCAAAGAAGGCCCAGTGGGCAGATGAAAGAAAGCAACCTCACAGAAAGCCGCAGGGGGCTGCTGTCCTCCTCTCCCCGGCAAATCCTTGCATCGTTTGGAAAAGCTGTCACGGCCAAAGCAGCCTTTTGGAAACCTCAAGGGGTTTGCTCTTCCTAAGGAACAACCCTGGGGACATGCTCTGCCCTCTCTGCTCCCCTTTGCTTCTCTGTCTCCGTGCCTTTGGGCTCTCCTTCCTTCTTTTCTTCCTTTCTTCTTTCCTTCTCTGGCCAAAATCCTCCACACGCAACCTTTGGAGGGACCTTTGGGCAGCTTCTCTATGACCCCAGACTCTTCCCCAAAGCAAGGACATCCTGGGATTCTTTCCGATGTGCCAGTGGCCAAACTATTGCTATCAGGGTCCCTCTAAATGGCACCTTCTCTGCCTCCTCCTCCCAACATGTATACTAGCTCTGATTGACTCCACTCATCCTCCCAGGCCGATGCACACTCTCCCACACACATACACACTCACAACTTTTTTCCATTCAATCCTCTTATTCTGCTGAGAACCCTCCCCTCCTCACAAAAAGCTGCGAAAAGATTTACTGCTGATCTCCTAAGTGGAAAATCTTGTTCTCCAAAAAAAAGGATAACCTTGCAAGAAAGCAATATGCTGGATAA